AAAAAAAAAAAAAAAAAGTGTTAGGTACCAAGTTTGAGTCCTGGTCTTAGACCCCCCCCCCAAAAAAAAGTGTTAGATAACTTCTGAACATGTAGAAAATTTCTTGTAACCTTTTGCTCAGATTAATTAAGATCCAAAGTGTCAGTCTGGCAATGTGTTGAGATTTGTGTTGAGGTTTGCTTTAGATCAACATGTAGCCTATTTTGGCAGCTATCCATTGCACACTCAAAAAAGTGCAAGTCACGCTGGTTCTGTAACTTTCTGTAGCTACACTATATAGAGTTCTAGTATCTACTAAGATCTAGTAAGTGTGCTTGTGTTTTGTGTATCTTTCCTCTTTATTGATCCAACATTTCCTTTTTTTCTTTCCTCTATAGTTATGAGCAGATTAAAGTAAGAAGCTTTGTTAATTCTGGGATCTCAGCAGGCTCTATTTCACTAGCAATTAAATTATGTCCACTTATCCATGAGGATTTATTTATTTATTTATTTATTTATTTTTGTCGGTCGTGGGGCTTGAACTCTGGGCCTGGGCGCTGTCCCTCAGCTCTTCAGCTCAAGGCAAGCGCTCTACCACTTGAGCTACAGCGCCACTTCTTGCATGAGGATTTATATAAGAGAGAATTCTTAGCATTGAGTCACCACTATTTCCTCTTGAAACCTACCTTGTTAGTGTTGGAAGGAATGAGTGTGGACACAGAGCTGTGTACTCTCAGGTCCCACCAGGTAGTTCTGAAGATGTATAACTGCCGTGGGCTACAGCTTTTGTTTGCTTGGTGCGGGCAGGCGTCCGACCCTGTGCACACTTTCTACCCTCACAGTTGTGGAAAGATGATAGTCTATAAAAAATAGAGGCTCAGCTGGGCACCAGTGGTTCAAACCTGTAATTCTAGCTCTTAAGGAGGCTGAGATCTGGAGATTGTGGTTTGAAGCCAGCCAAAAAAAAAGCCAGAAATGTGCTAACCACCAAAAAGCCAGAAGTGTGCTCTGGCTCAAGTGGTAGACCACTAGCCTTGAGCAAAAAACACTGAGACAACACCTAAGCACACAGGCCTGAGTTCAAGCCCCACCCTCCCCCTTTGCATTAGGTGATTTGGGGAATCTGTTGGTTTGTTTTTTTTTTTTAATTACCTGAAAGTAAGTGCTGGAGAAATTTGTGATTAAGAGAAAGGTAGATAAGGAGATTGAGGAGTGTGAAGCCTCTACAACAGCAAAAGGTAAACTTTGACTTAAATGAAAATGAGGATACACTGTCCAGATTCTTGTGTCACGGTCAGACTTGGAATTGAGTAGACTTTCTTTTGTTACTTATTTAACACTGGTAAGCCTTCCTCATGCACAGAGACGTAGGTTTTGGAGCTCTTTGATGAGAATCCATGGGTCTCTTCCTATTAGCTGAGAGAGAGCGAGAGAAGTGTGTGTGCCTCCTGGCTCTTTCTGTGCCTTTAATTAAAGATGACTGCGAAATTTTTTGTCTTAGAAAATGAGCAATACAATTTGTAGTTAGTAGTGAAGTGATTGACGCTCAGTACACATTGGGAAACAGAAGATGGGAGAATTTGGTGATAAAAATATAAATATTTAGCTAGGCTCCCATGGCTCATGCCTGTAAATCCTAGCTACTCAGGAGGCTAAGATCTGAGGATCATGGTTAGAAGCCAGCCCTGGAGGAAGTCATCCATGAGACGCCTATCTCCAGTTAATCATCAGAAAAACCTGAAGTGGAGCTGTGGCTCAAGTGCTTGCCTTGTGCAAAAGGAGCTCAGCAGCAGCACCCCAGCCCAGAGTCCAAGCCCCAGGACTGGCAAAAACAACCACACAAATATTAGATTATACAACGTAAGAGTGAACCTAATGGAATCTATGGACTCCAGTCTCCTGATAGTTTGGATTTCTCAGTTTTGGTGAAGTAGTGTGTGGTTTAAGCTGTTGTCATTTGGACTTGCCTCTCTTCTGTGTATGTAATATTTGTTAACTACTTCTGTCTCTCCCTTTCTGTGGAGCAGGTAGAATGCCAGGATGCCTTGGAAACAGCAGCCCGAGCTGAGGGCCTTTCCCTGGATGTGTCTACGCATTCTCAGCTCAGAATTCTGGATGACGAACATCCCAAGGGAAAGTACCATCATGGCCTAAGTACTTTGAAGCCCATCCGGACCACTTCCAAGTAAGAAGCTCTGAAGGTTAATGAGTCATCGGCAAAGCACCAAAAGCATTGTTGAAAAATTTGACTGAGATGAGGCAGTTGGGGAGACCTACTTTTAATCAAGAGGACGGTTTACTTAAGTGTATGTTAAATACTGTTTGTCTTCTTGTTGTATGTTGAAACCTCATGACTTGATTTCTCTTTGTAGACACCAACACCCGGTGGACAATGCTGGGCTCTTTTCCTGTATGACGTTCTCATGGCTTTCTCCTCTGGCCCGCGTGGCCCACAAGAAGGGGGAGCTCTTAATGGAGGATGTGTGGCCTTTGTCCAAGTATGAGTCTTCTGATGTGAACTGCAGAAGGTAGGCGTCTCTGGTCCACCCTGGTTTCCACATACTGGATGCTAGGCCTGAGCTAGGAGGGTGTGAATTCTGCAGCTGTCCTGGGGTGGGGGGTGTCTTGGGGGTGGCCTCCCCTTTGCTCTTCTGCTTTATTTCCTATTTCACTCTAATCCTAATTTAACCATGGGCTTTCTCTCTCTCTCTCAGCCCCGCTTCTCTTCCTGAGTCTGAAGGGAGATTATGTGGCTGCCTTGTGACAGAATACATTTTTGTGGTAGCTGATTGTGTTATTAAAATCTAGTTTGCAACTTTGCTTTTTACCACAGGATCCTTCAGAAAGGGTGGGGGCCCTGAGAAAGGAAGTTATCCCCAGACTTTATTCAGGGATAGGCCTTTTGGGGGTGGGAGGAAGGGCTCTTGTTCTATCGTTTTTCTGTACCTTGGAATGCTCCCTATCTGGAATAAATATGCACATACACAGAAAGGGACGTTTTCTCTAGAAGGTGAAGACTAGGGGTATAATTTTAAAGGAGAGACTTTTTGTGCCATGACAGAGCCTGGAGACAAAAAACGATGGTGGGAGGGAAGCTAGGGTATGTCTTTTTCCCTGAGGAGATGTGTAACAGGAAGACATGTACCTTGTTAAGACTAGAGAGACTGTGGCAAGAAGAGCTGAATGAAGTTGGGCCAGATGCTGCCTCCCTGAGAAGGGTTGTGTGGATCTTCTGCCGCACCAGGCTCATCCTGTCCATCGTGTGCCTGATGATCACGCAGCTGGCGGGCTTCAGTGGACCAGTAAGTTCTAACCATCCTTTCTGACAGTCTCTAGGAGCCCGGCCATGGCCAGCTCTAACTCTCTTGTTCAATTATTGGGGTTATGCTCAATTCTGGGTAGTTAGCAGTTTAGAGATGCCTCCATCTCTGTTGAAATGGGTCAGTGGATTTGGGAGTAATGGTGGCTTCTTAACTACTGGCATGTTGATGGGCAGAATTGGGAGAGAAGAAAGAGCTAATTTGCTTTCCTGGGGTGGGGGCGTGAAACTGAGCTGATCCTGGTTCTGCACAGGACTGTGCTTCTTGGTTGTGTGTTGACATGAAATAACAATCTGGATCTGGGCAGATGTGTCGTGGCAGTATTGTAAACAGTCTTATGTGGTATGGACTGGTGAGCCAGTGTGGTGACATACCAAATGCCTGGAAGCAGAGTATCATGATTGACAGTCCTATGGCAAATGAACACTCCAGGAGCTAGAGGACTGTCAAGGTTTTCAGAGTTGGATTTGGAGTCCATTTCAAGCTTTGGTGTATAGGGTAAGCTATGGCAAGTGTTGGGGTGTCAATCATGGTATTTTCCTAATCTGACAGAAGCAGAGTAGGTAAGGGAGTCTTTGACAGTTTTCTGGGCACCTGTTTCTTACACCTGCTGTGTTGCCTTACATTGAGATTTTTTATTAAATCTATTCTCTACATATTTGCCTTGAGGCATCGGAGCAGTAGTACTGATTATACTGTGCATTTTCCGTGTGTGGGTAAGCTGGAGGTTCATGGTTTGGGTAAGTATATGCTTAAGATGCATGGTGACTAGGTAAAACTAATGTATAGTTTTGTTGTTTTCTTTTGTTTGTTTTCTTTGTTTTTCTCCCCAAAGTTTGATGCCTTTTTAAAAGTTTCTATCTCTTTTTCTGAAGCAGAGAACACTACTTTTCTGATATTTCTGGGGTTTTTATATTAATTGACCAACTAACACACGTTTGTATAAGTTTTATGTAAATGAGACCATGTAATTGAAATATTGTTGTTATTGATCAAAATGGCAAACATTTTCTTAGAGCCAGCTTTCCCAAGAAGAGCTTCTGTCCTTGTTTCACTACAGAGCTGGTGGCTGCTCTGATCTATAATCAAATTCTTTCATCTGGCTAGGATGGCATGCAGACAGGCTTTCTTGATTCCACTTTCCTCTAAAAAAAAAAAAAACAAACAAAAATTTCATAGATTGTTGGAATTGTTAATTTTTTTACTTGAAAAAAATGTTACTTATGCATGTTCAGCTTGGTGGCTTTTAAAGTCACCCCTTGAGCATCTGTGTAGTCCTTAATTTTTCATTTATAATGCAGTACACGGGGATGCACATTTCTAGGAAAATCTTGTAGATGCCAGGGAAAGCTGAGTGCCTTCCTTTAACAGGAAAAGGCCCTTTCTGGAAATGTACCTCAGTGGTTCAATCCTGGAACACCTGGAAATGCAATGGACCCATCTTTTGTCTCTGTGAGAAAAAATAATAACAATTTGAAAGTTAATGCTGCTGGTGTCTTTTTGAGACCTCTTTCTTTCTGACTGGAATTAAAAGAATTAGGCTGGTTTGAGATTATACCAACAGTGAGCAAATTTCCTGTGAGCAGACTTCAGTCCTTTCAGGAACATTCTTTTTAAACTTTTGTGGATTTCCTAAGCTGGCATGATTTCAAACTGGCTTGACCTGTTCATAATAAAACCTACATAAGAACAGCTTCCCCAGATTACAAGCTTTCCAAATTATTTCTTGTCTTCTCTTAGGTGTCATTGAGACTTGTTAGCCAAACACAGACCACATGAAATACAATCAAGCTGTGCTTTGTATGCATATGCTTTTAAATTTGCTGGCCCTCTGATGGTGGGCATTCCTGCATCAAGATGATCCAAGGATCTGGCAATGCCAGCACTCCTCAGGGTCTAGGGAATCACAGTTTTTGAACAGATTACCAGAATCCATAATGTTAGAGATGGAGAGCCAAAACTTAAGAAACTAACCAAGACATTTTTGGGTCCTTTTTAGACTCAGATAGTTTTGAAAACCCCAGGCCTTCCCTAGGATCTCTGTGTATATTGGCATCTGCCTTAGACCCACCCACAAGAGAAGGCTGCCTCCAGCAGCAATGTCTCTTGGTGAATGCTAACTGCCCCAGGGCCTTGGGGGAAAATCAGTGAAAAACTTTTGAGTAGGTAAGTTTCCACCCTCCAACCTCTCTCCAGCTGCAGCTTGCTTGGTGCTGTCAGGATCTGGACTTGGGGGGAGTCTCTCTGTAGTGGAACCAGTGACAGAAGCTGTTCTTTAGAATTTTCAGGATGGCTGTATTCTGCGCTCAGAATGAGAGAGTCAAGCGGGGCAGAATCTCTCGCCAAGAGTTCAGGTAAGGTAATGTTTATTCACTGGGAATGCTTTCCACAGCCAGACAGCTATGCTGATAATCTCCAGTTGTCTCCCAGTTTGTTTAGACCTAAGTGGTAGATTTGTAACTTAAAAAAAAAAAAGCCAAAAAAGGAATTTTGTTTGGATTTTTCCATGCAAACCTTTTTTTTTTTTCTTCTCCCATACAAAATGGTTTACAATGTCATTGCTTTTTTAAAACCCTGTGTTGGAAGTTCTTTAATCTGCTGTTTCCTCTTTCCCTCCCTTTGAAGTTTTACATAGTGGTAATATGGGTTATGTCTTTTACCTTCCCTGCCCCTCCCCTCTGGGAGAGACTGGTGCTCTTACTCAGTGCTGAAAGGGGCACTGTAAAGTTTATGGGAAGGAAGGAGCCCAAACAACAACCTGCTGTCCTTGCACGCCTTTCCTGGAGACTGCTCCACAGTGCCTTGGTGTGTGAGAAAGGGCTTCACCTGGCGCCATCTACTGAGTGCTTCACAGGAGGAGGAAGGGCTCTGACTCTGTGACTCAGGTCCATATTTTGGATGCATACTGGAAAAGAAGCCAATCTTCTTGTTAGTAAACCAGCAGCCAATCTGTATGCAGGGGGAACCAAACATTGCATATAAACCTAAAAAAAAAATCTGAGGAGGGCAGAGATAGAATATAATAGTTCTTACAATCTTAGAATCAGAACTCTTCTATAGATCAAGTTATAGAACATGACTCTCATTAATGGGAATCTCCTAGGCCTAGGAAACATGTGATATTAAGCTACTAATGGGAAAACAGAAAAATACAAATTAGCTCAGTGTCTGGGTTCTGAGAATCAGCATTAGATACTTCAAGACAATTGTGCCTTTGTTTCTGTCTGTGGTTCAGTGATGGCTTATAGTCGCAATAACCTGTGCTGTAAGAAAACAGGGTAGATGGGTGGATGGGCTTTGAGTTTATTCTTTTTCTTCCTTTAGGTTGGGGGATTAGTTTGGCTTTCTTTTGCTGTGGTGTGTTTTGTTTCATTTATGCCAATCTCAACCTTAGTTTTAGCTACAAGGACTTGAAAAGACTCCGAAGGATGCCAACCCTTTTTCTTCAAGGCCTAGAATTTTATATTCCATCATAAACAGACATAGCTTCCACATAGCTTCGTGTACCAACAGCACAAGCAATTTTAAGCAGTGCCTCTTTAGAGAATTTTTGGTTTTTTTGTTTTGTTTTGTTTTTTTAAATTCTCTTTCCTTAGCAGCAAGGTTTTTATTCCTAGAGAATCTACTCCCGTGCAGAATCACTGCAACTTCAGGACCCCTAACTGATGAGTGCCATCATCCTGATGTACTGCTTCGGACTCTGGAAACATATCACTTCTGTTCTGTATTTCCAATGTGTGTAGTCATGACAACAGCCGGAGACCAGATGACCTGTTAGATGCTAGCCCTATGTAACTGAACTCTGTATGTTCCCACTGTATGTTACTACAATGCTCCTGCTGTTGTACAGTGTTTGTGAGATGCTCTTTGAAGATGGTACCTTTATATATATATATATATATTTTTCATTTTCAATAAAAGTACATTACCTCCACTTCTTGGTATTTAATACTGTTGCTGAATGTGCCTGTGTGAGTGTGTGCCCCGGCGTTGCAGGACCTCAGAGCTGGAGGTGGTCCTCGGTGGTTCTTGGGGGCTGGCCGTTCCCTCTCTGCAGGTGGTGTTAGACATATGCTACCTGAGGTAACATGTTTTTGTTCTTGGGAGGGAGTGGGCATGGGGAGGGCCCGAGGGAGGGTCTCTAGACTTGTGTTGGTCTGCTTTGATTACTCCCTTCTGTACTATTAAACTGCTGATGTTTATTTTCAGGAATGTTTTGCAAATGCACTTCTCACTCTTCCCCAGTACAACTGTAGGTACACTGTTCCTTTTTATCAAATAAGCACGTTTGAAAGGATACAAAGAAAGGTCTTAATTTCATTTAAAGAAATGTATCCATCTGTGGAAATACTGGAATAAGGTCAAATATATACCCTTGAATGACCATGTATTTAGAATTAATTTCAGCTCATAGACAGGTCTATGTTACATTAGAAAGAGTAATGGTCATGATGGTGTCTGTCCTTAAGGAAAAAGTTTCCAATTTGGCCTCCTGTGCAATGTCCTGGGTCAATTATTGTGGGCAGGGTATCTGTAACATTTGGTCTTCTAAGAAAGTTTTTTCGTTGCCTGAACACTGATGACCGTGCTGTGAAGCAGACTACTCTTTCTATCCTAACATAGCACTGTGACATTGGTTGTGGTTGCTGTGGGGATGTTGACAGCTGTGTATATTTCTCCCTGTAGGCCTTTGTGGTGAAACACCTCTTGGAGTATACCCAAGCAACAGAGTCTAATCTGCAGTACAGCTTGCTATTGGTCCTAGGCCTGCTTCTGACAGAAGTTGTGCGCTCTTGGTCACTTGCACTGACTTGGGCATTGAATTACCGAACTGGTGTCCGCCTACGGGGGGCTATCCTAACTATGGCATTCAAGAAGATCCTTAAGTTAAAGAACATTAAAGAGAAGTCCCTAGGTGAGGTGAGTATGCTCTACACAAAGTGCAAACTCCTGGCTAGGGCTCCTTTCCCCTGGGGTCATGTTTTGATCAGTACCTCCAGAGATGAGTGGCAGTGGACTGTCCTGAAAGGGTCCTTCACTGTTCTTTGTATTTTTAGCTCATCAATATTTGCTCCAACGACGGGCAGAGGATGTTTGAGGCAGCTGCTGTTGGCAGTTTGTTGGCTGGAGGACCCGTTGTTGCCATCTTGGGCATGGTTTATAATGTGATCATTCTGGGCCCAACAGGCTTTCTAGGCTCAGCTGTTTTCATCCTCTTTTATCCAGCAATGGTGAGTAAGTCTCCTAGCTGTATTAAGACAGAAAGCCCCTCCTTGGGAAACGAATTCTTTCAAGGGAACCATAGTAGACCCTCATGCTCTGATTGGAATTTTCCTCAAAGTCACTCCTTGGTTTGGAGAAGTCTGGAGCTAGACCATACAGTCCATGTGTGTAGATTCTGACTTGAGGGGAAGAAAGTTATCACTTGTAAAAAGCAAGTGGCAGCAGCTCCTTATAACATTACAAAAGAGGAGTCTTGAGTGAAGGAGGAAGCCAGCAGGTAAACACTGCCCTGGATGACAGAGGAGTGTCTGAGTTACTTCAGCTCCAATTGATATTTTCACTGCTCCTGCTTCTGCTTTGGTAGCCCTCAAAATCTGCATTTATAGTGAGAACAAATAGTATTTTGTCCTCACTGCCTTACCAGAGACAAGAATTAAATAATACTTGATCATAACTCCCTTTTATTAGAGAAAAAACAATACAATTACATGAGAAGCAGCCCGTCCCAGAAAACAGGATTATGTGCTCATTTTATTCAGAGTGATTTCAAGCAGTTCTTCATTTTGGATGAGCTCTGATCTGGTATGGCATTGCTTTTCCTTTCAGATGTTTGTGTCACGGCTCACTGCATACTTCAGGAGAAAGTGTGTGACTGCCACAGATAACCGTGTCCAGAAGATGAATGAAGTTCTCACCTATATTAAATTTATTAAAATGTATGCCTGGGTCAAAGCATTTTCTCAGAATGTTCAAAGTGAGTTAAAAAAATACGTATGTGCATGTGTGTAGGATTTTGGATTCTTTGGGTTTGATCATCCCCATCCTTTGCTTCCTGAGCACATTAGATACTAGGGCTTCTTAGGTCTACAGTCCTAGCATCATCAAAACTTTATGTTCAGTAGGGATACAGGTGGACCCATTGCAACAATGAGATGTACAAGTTGTTATGTCAAAAAACGAACTTCATAACTTTGGCGGGGGAGGGGGGCGGGGGGGTGAGTTTAGGGAGGAGATGGGAAGGGATGGGAAGGGGAAACAAAGGAGGAGGCAACAATGCTTGATAAGAAATATACTCATTACCTTGCCCATGTAATTGTAACCCCTCTGTACGGTATTTTCAGAGTTAAAAACAAAACAAAACTTTATGTTCAAAAGAAGTCTTAAAGATTTGAATCCATTATTCTATGTCACAGATGTAGAACTTTAAGATCTGGGATATCATTCATTTTTCCAAGATAACTAGTTAGAATAACTCAGCTTTTTACCTTATTTCCTCTTTCCCTCATATCCTTCCTCAACAAGAGTTCAAATTAGCAAATACTTAAGAGAAAAAAGAACCAGGCCCTGAGTACAAGCCTCAGTACCCACCACCACAACTGATCCCCTCATGTAAACCTAGAATTTGCATCACAGATGTTAAAGGACCATTTTAAAGCATAATTGTGGCTAAGAGTGAGTCTTACTTGGTGGTGGAGGAGCAGTGTCCCAAGATTTCTTTTGATTCTCTATAAACCTGGTTTTCTTTCTTTTGATAGAAATCCGAGAGGAAGAGCGTCGGATATTGGAAAAGGCCGGGTACTTTCAGAGCATCACTGTTGGCGTGGCTCCCATTGTGGTGGTGATTGCCAGTGTAGTGACATTCACTGTTCATATGACTTTGGGCTTCGATCTGACAGCAGCACAGGTCAGAGAACCCTCAGGAAGGGAAGTTTTAAAATACCATCTAAGGAGGTGCTCTGGTCCTCTTGTTTACTACATTTCAAGGTTCTCTCAAGAACTGTATTTGTGAGTGTGTGTGTGTGTGTGTGTGTGTCTGTGTGTGTGATTAAGCTGAGATGAAGAAGACCAGGGAACCAACTCTTGTGCATAGATGATGTATGGGCTACTGTTAGTCAATCTGAAGTTTTGGTGTTTAAAATTTTGGAAATACAAATCAACCACAATACAATCTGTGGTTCAGATTTTCCAACAATTTTAGTTAAAGGTCTTATAAAAACCCTGCCCTTTAAAAAAATGTATTTGAAAGTGTAGTTACATTTGCCATCCAAGTTTGCAGCCTTTCTGCTACCTGAAAGGAAATTGGTGAGTGATTTCAGGCTCACTTTCTCCTCTTTTCCAATTTTAAGGCTTTCACGGTGGTGACTGTCTTTAATTCCATGACTTTTGCTTTGAAAGTAACACCATTCTCAGTAAAGTCCCTCTCGGAAGCATCGGTTGCTGTTGACAGATTTAAGGTAAGTTGCTCCTTGCCCCTTCCCAATGTCAAGCTGTCCCCGCCACAAGTAACCGCCTCTGTACCAAGGCACTCCAAAAGCCACACTGGTCTTTGCTTTATCTTGCTCTCTTGGGCAATAAAGCAGCAAGGGAACAGTAAAAGAGACTGAATTAAGGAAGAAGTTACCTTTTTAACTTAATGTAAATTTTCCCTTTCCTCAATGTTCTGATTCTGGGCTTAGTGTCTGCTCTCATAGTGAGCCCATCTGCCTGGTACTGACATGGATGTATGTTGTCACTTAAAAAGTCTGAATGATTTAAAATGGTTTTCTTCCCCTTCTTCCTTGTTACTATCATTTTGATTGATTGATATCCTCTATCCTATTTCTTTTTCCTGCCCTGTTGTTACCATTCATGATTCAGGGAGAGCATTGACTTGAAAATAGTCATAAAACTAGATTATATTAAGAAGTACAGCAGAGTATTAGTTCTTTTCCTTGTAGGTGGTTAGTTGGTCATGTCTTGACTGTGTTCTGTGTCTCCAGAATAATACAATTATAATAATTCAAATACAAGAGGAGTGTGAGGGGATAAATATTTAAGTGGTTAATATTTAATTACAGAAGTTCACTGAAAGAGCAACTCTTATGCTCCTACTTGTTTTTCTGGGCCAATGAGAGTGATACAGGAGCATTTTTAGTGATGTGAAGGGTTGCAATTTGAGTGTTTGAAGAATAAATATTAATAGCTTAGAGGCTCAGGAAAAACAAAATTGGATTTCCCTCTTAAGAGGGGTAGAACCTGGTATGGTAGCACATAGTTGTAACACTAGCTGGTAGAGTGGAGGTAGAAGGATAATGTCCAAGGACAGCCTGAGCAAAAGCATAAGACCACATATAAAAAAGCAAAAGCAAGCTACTGGGGACATGGCTCAAGTGTCTATCAGGCACAAGTCCCCATGTTTTGCTAAACTCACAATATGCAATCATGGAAGAAAGCAAGTGTTTTAACAAATTGGGAAGTTCTCCCAAGTTGTTCCTATAGTCTCATTAATAAATGGATTTGGGTAGATTTTGAAGAAGTTCGGGTGTAATGCATTGCCTTTCAGTCTTGCCACTTATTAATGAGAACTTAGATTAGCAGGTGATATTTCGCATCCTAGTCCTTCTGTCCAAGAAGTGTCAGGGTTAATAATAGAAGCAAAAGTATCCTTCCTTTTATGCCACATGAAACTTCAGTCCAGTCGAGCTTATGTCTCTTGGCAATGTTTGGTGGTGTTTCATTTTGTTTCCTTTTTTACATGCTTAGCCCTGGATAACAAGTACTATCTAAGCCTTCCCCAGCAATGAGCTTGTTTCTTTCTTACTATCTTCTGGTGCTTATTAATTAGAATAACATTGACTTCATTAGGATTTAAGAGGGAAGGAGCAACAATTTATTATAAATGCTCCTTCCTTCCTTCCTTCCTTCCTTCCTTCCTTCCTTCCTTCCTTCCTTCCTTCCTTCCTTCCTTCCGTTCTTTCTTTCTTTCTTTCTTTCTTTCTTTCTTTCTTTCTTTCTTTCTTTCTTTCTTTCTTTCTTTCTTTCTTTCTTTCTTTCTTTCTTTCGGAGCCTTTTGAAAACATTCACAAAACTGCTCCTGAGATTTTACTCACCTCAAAAGTATCTGCTCCTCCATTATTTTCTAGACGATGCATCAGATAACAGAATGTGTTTTCTTTCTTTGGCTTATTGTATAATGGAAATTCATAGAAGTTCCATGAAGGTGCTGTGCCCTTGAATTTGCATCAACACCATTCCCTTCTCAAAGTGGAGTTAGGGATCTAATAGACAAGCAAGGGTGGTCTTTGTCTCTGGCCTGTCTTCCTTACAGGAAAGCTTGTTGCTTCCTCTTGGATAATGTGGATAAAGGGCAGAAAAAAGAAAGAAAATGATGACTTATAGACAAGCATTAAAAAGCTACCTTGTGGGTTTGCTGTGCTGATTGTTGCCAATGTAGTATTGCAAATAAAAAACAAAAACAGGTTTTAGCTGGGTGCCAGTGGCTCATCACCTGTAATTCTGGCTACTTAGGAGGCTGAGATCTAAGGATTATGGTTCAAAGCCAGCCTGGGTAGGAAAGTCTATGAGACTCTTTTCTCTAATTAACCACCAAAAAATCAGAAGTGGAGCTATGCCTCAAATGGTAGGGAACTAGTCTTGAGCAAAAAAGCTCCAGGGCATCACCCAGGCCCTGAATTCAAGTCCCAAGTCTGACACTTAAAAAAAAAAGAAAGAAAATACAGCATATGCTCAGGTGTGGTGCACACCTGTGACCTTAACATTCCAGAGGCTGACGCAGGAGGATTGTAGCCTAGGCCAAATTGTGCTACATAGTGAGACACTGTCACAGAAAAACAAAAACATGACTAGGCATTGGTGGCTCAGGCCTGTAATCCTACCTACTCAGGAGGCAGAGATCAGAGGATCTCAGTTTGAAGCCAGCCTGGACAGAAAAGTCTGTGAGGTTCTTCTCTCCAATAAACTACTCAAGAAAGCCAGAAGTGAAGCTGTGGCTCAAGTAGTGGTAGAGTGTTAGCCTTGAGCCAAAGAAGCTCAGGGACTGCTCCCAGGCCCAGAGTTCAAGCCCCAGGACCTGCAAAACAACAACAACACAACAACAAACCCTCACAAGATGCCTGATTAAATACTGCATGGAACATACTACTTGTACTGAAAATTGTTTGTTGCTTATCAGAATACAAATTTAACTGGGTGTCTTGTGTTTTATCTGACAGCTCTGAGCATATTCCTCAGGCTCATTCTGATTTTATTCTTGTGGTAAATTAAAGGATCTTGATTATCATACCCAGTAGTAAAAAAGTAGTTTATGGTTTGTTTATTACTAAAATTGTGTTGTTCAGTAGGTGTAAGGGTCAGGAAGCCCTTGTCTTCCTCAGCAGTCTGGGCAGGATGACTTGCACCTGAAACTCCTGGAGGAGGGCAGGGCCATGGAGAGTGGGAAGGAAACATAGGGAAAGAGCTAATAGTCTTGGGGGCCTAAATAGTCATCTTTTTAATAGCTCATTAGGCTAGTGAACTGGGAAATTCTGTCACATGCACTTTCAGTTGGTGAGGGTATTGTGAATATGAATAGTTAACATGTTATTCCCAGGTCAGTCTCTCAGGAAAACTACAAACACATTAACCCCACAGAAAGCAGGGGCTACACTTAAGATTGGTCAAGAGGGGGCTGGGAAAGTGGCTTAGTGGTAGAGTGTTTGCCTAGCTAGCATGCATGAAGCCCATAATTCCACAGTACCACATAAACAAAAAGCTGGAAGTGTGGCACTGTGGATCAAGTGGTAGAGTGCCAGTCTTGAGCAAAAGAAGCTTAGGGCCAGTGCCTAGTCCCTGAGTTCAAGCTCCAGGACTGGCAAAAAAAAAATTAGTAAAGACTCCTAACGTTTATTTAGGATATTTCGAAACAAAATACTCTGGGAAGCTTGGAGATTACAATGAATAGGACACATGATAACTTCAGGGAGAAAAGTGCAAGCTTGGGTTAATATCCAAGAGAATAGGAAAGGTGTTACTTCCTGTATATTTTACAGCACTTGCAAACTTAAAGCTGGTTAAAGAATCCCAGTAAGTTCATTGGCATCTGGTGGATGGGACTATTTTTAGTGTAAAACAACTACTTATTATAAATGTTTCTGAGTTCATTAGAGGAAATTTGCCTCAGTCTTGAGGAATCATCTGAGGCAGACTTTTGAAAATAGCATCAAAACTACTCAGCCCTGATCCGAAAAGTCATCTTTTCTCTGAAGATTTTCCAACATTTAAAAAAATTACATTTAAAAAATCATTCTGGGGCTGGGCGCCGGTGGCTCACGCCTGTAATCCTAGCTACTTAGGAGGCTGAGATCTGAGGATCGCGGTTCAAAGCCAGCCCGGGCAGGAGAGACCATGAGACTCCTATCTCCAATAAACCACTAGAAAACCGGAAGTGGTGCTGTAGCTCAAGTGGTAGAGCGCTTGCCTTGAGCTGAAGAGCTGAGGGACAAGCCCGCAGGACCAGAGTTCAAGCCCCACAACCGCCAAAAAAAAAAAAAAATCATTCTGGGTTAGCATTCTGTAAAGATTACTATTTTAAGAGAGGAAGTCAGAAGGAAGTCTAAGTCTTACAGGAAAGTTTTGGGCTGTGGTTTACTGTGCTCTTAAAGACATTTCCCTCTTCACACACTCCATTTTCCTTCCCCTTAACATAATTCATAATTTATTTTTGTCTGTGAACTTGGCCCTTGTTTTTGTGCTCAGGGTTAGTGCTCTGCCACTTTTAGCCACAGTGTACTTCTTGTTTTCTGGTGATTATTTGGAGATAAGAGTCTCATGGACTTTCCTGCCTGGGCTGGTTTTCAACTGTGACAAGGCCCCTCAGATCTCAGTCTCCTGAGTAGCTAGGATTATAGGTATGAGCCATCTGTGCCCAGCATAAGAGGTGTTCTTAAAGAGATACTTCCTACCCTTTGTGTTGACACAGGCCTGTTCCTTAGACCTTCTTTTCTCCCCCTGATCACCTGAGCCTGGTGTCCGTCTTAGGTTAGCCTGTCTTGACAGTTAAGTCTGTGCTGATAGTGCCAGGTTTTGGATAAAGTTTGGGGTTCTGCAGGAGACTCTGGAGGGAATACGTATAGGGAAGCAAGGTGCATAAAAGGGAGTCAGGGTGGAAATAGGGTTTCCAGATTGCTACTCAGCAGCTTATGAGCAAAAATACAAGGTTCCATAGTAATTAGTTAAATGTCCTTGGTCCATTAGCATGTAACAACATAGAGGGCTCAACAAGGCCCTTATACCTCCAGAGACAAGGCTACACTAATGAGCTACTTTTGCCCTTCAGCTTCCTTCCACTGTATAGCCTGATGTGTTTTGCTTCGTGAGTGTACGCCCTAGGCTTGTCTTCCTGGTCTTGATCCAGTGTCTCATCTTTGCACCTCTCTCACAACTCCTATCAGAGTTTGTTTCTAATGGAAGAGGTTCACATGATTAAGAACAAACCAGCCAGTCCTCACATCAAGATAGAGATGAAAAATGCCACCTTGGCATGGGACTCCTCTCACTCCAGTATCCAGAACTCACCCAAGCTGACTCCTAAAATGAAAAAAGACAAGAAGGCTTCCAGGGGCAAGAAAGAGAAGGTGAGGCAGCTGCAGCGCACCGAGCATCAGGCGGTGCTGGCGGAGCAGAAAGGCCACCTCCTCCTGGACAGTGACGAGCGCCCCAGTCCTGAGGAGGAAGAAGGCAAGCACATCCACCTGGGGAGTCTGCGCCTGCAGAGGACGCTGTACGGCATCGACTTGCAAATAGAAGAGGTGAGTTGCCTGCCTTCCCCATTCTCATCTGGCCAGGGTAGGCAGCTGCCATTCTTTTAGCAAAATACTCGGTGGGAGTGCTTTGGGACCAAATTGCAGATTAGGCCAGCTCTCATGCCAAAGGAATTACTTAAGCATTTGACAGCAGAATTAATAACCAATGTAGTGAAATGCTCCTATTGCAAATAAGAGAGTGAAGAATTCGAGTGGATTTTCCAGTATTCAACTTTGTATTGCAGTTTCTGGCTGTTAGAGCCGTCTGAAATGTATTTATGTTCTAACTGTGTACTCTATGCTCCTTATTATGACGGTTGTACATCACACCAACTGGGCATATAATAGGAATTCCCAGAGCTGCTCTTGTCAACACTATGTATTTTTAGTATAAGTAATGAGTTCTTTTGATATGTTCTGTTGATACGATGTGTTCTTTTGATATGTCACAGGCCAGGTAGCCCATGACTGAACTCAGACCTCAGACTACAACTGGAGAGCCATACTACTCAAGAGCCCCCAGATGTGTTCTCATTGATTTGTCAACCTAGTTTTTAAGTATCATCTCTGGCAAACACTAGGGTAGGACTGGGAATAGAGCAAAAACTCATCCTCCTGGAGCTTACCATCTCAAGAGCAAAGAACAAGTGGAATTGATCGTAGTTCAGATTGTGGAAAAGATGATAGAAAGTGCAGGAACAGGGACAGTTCTGGCAGTCTCAATAGCATGCCTTATTTGAAAACTATTATTTCAACAAAAAGAGAAAGCAAGCCACCTAGTACCTGAGGAAAGAAGAACAGTTCTTTTTTTTTTTTTGGTCCGTAGTAAGACTTGTACTGTGGGCCTGGGTGTTGTCCATGAGCTCTTCAGCTCAAGGCTAGTGCTCTACCACTTGAGCCACAGCGCCACCTCCAGTTTTCTGGTAGTTAACTGGAGATAAGAGTTTATGGACTTTTCTGCCCGGGCTGGCTTTGAACTATGATTCTCAGATCTTACCCTCCTAAGTAGCTACGATTACAGGCATGAGACACCAGTGCCCGTCTCAAAGAAGAACATTTTTAGCTGAGGAGAAGAAGAACAAATACTCCTAAGTCTGTGGATAGGGGTATTACAGGACACTGAAGGCAGAGTGAGTGTGGGAGAGTAAATAGCAGCTGCTAAGGATGGAAAGCAGGGAGGAGAGTATGAGTTGCTCTCATTAACTCTGGCTTCACCCTGGAAGGGAAGAGAAGCAGTAGAGTTCTTAAGACAGCTTAGCTGCTAAATTCAGGAAAGTGTAGGGAAAAAGAGAAGAAAGCAAGGAGAACAGCTGGGAATGTGTTAATACAATGCAAAACAGGGAAAATGATGTCTTGGGAGGTGGGTGGTGGTTTGGGAGGTGGTCAGAAGTGTTTGTCTATGTAATGTAGGTTCTGTGCACTGGATATTAACATCAGTGGCTGACTAGAGGCATGTCAGGCAAATTCAGACAGACTGAGGAGAGATCAGAAAGCTTCCACCTCTTAACAGTTATACCATGAAGGGGAGACAGTCTGTTGTGAGACCACCTAAATAAAACTGATGAATATGCATTATTTAATTGCCCATGACCCAGTTTTTACCTCACCATTAGCAACAGGCTTTCTCTTTAATAACTCTTGTTTTGATTATTGAGGCAGCTCTGTTACATCACTAATTAGAATTACTCCTCTCATCCAGCTGAAACTTACTCCTGAATCTGCTCTTTAGAACCTAGATACCCGGAAGACTGTTTTAGCCATTTGAAGAAATGTCCAATAATTTCTTACTGGGCCCTCTATACAGGGGAATGACTAGTAAGCAATATTTGTGGATTGCCTTCTATCTACCAAGTACTTTGTGTTGGTGTTGTACTTAGTCACAGCATTTCTTTGTATAAACCTAACTAATGGGTGGAGGTTGAACTGTGTGCCTTGGCCTCATTACCACCAGGCAATTACACTTGAAATTCATAGACTATGCCCAAAATGCTATTTGTCTAACATATTTTTACTCTGTACCAGGAACTTTTTTATTCTATAGTAACTCCTTCTTCTGGTGTCACTGTCCAATAAGGAAAGCAGATCGGCACAGTGTGTGTTTGGGTAACATGACTATAGTCACAATAAGCAGATGTTGGTGAGGTTGGGATTCTAGTATGTCCTGTTTGCTTTCAGAGTCTGTGCTCCTTCACACCTCTTCTGCCTGCCTGCCTGCCTTCCACAGGGTCTTCAGTCTGTACTGTACTGCCAAACAAGTCTTCCTTTTAAAGTCCACTGCCCTCAAATACTTTTTTGGTACTGGAGATAGAACCTAGAACCTTGTGCTTACTTGACTTGTGCTCTACCATTTGAGCCATACCTGTAGTTCTTGAAATTTGAACACTACTATTGAGAACTCTCATCTTAAGTGAGGCTTCAATTAGTCCTCTGTACCCATGTGTTCTACATCCACACATGCCAAACAACTATGACTAGAAAATATTTGGGGAGAAAATGACACCTGTACTAAACATGTACAGACATTTTATTCTTTTTATTCCCTGAAGGTGGTTCAGTGGTAGAGTGCTTGCCTTGCATGCATGAGGCCCTGGGTTCAATTCTTCAGCCCTACATAAGCAGAAAAAGCCAGAAGTGGCACTGTGGCTCAAAGGGTAGAATGCTTGCCTTGAGCTGAAGAGCTGAGGGACAGCACCCAGGCCTAGAGTTCAGGCCCCATGACCGACAAAACAACAACAACAACAACAAAACCCAAAACACCACACATACATATTTGCATAGCATTTATAGTATATATCACCTAGAGGTAGTTTTAAGTATAGAAGATGATGTATATAGGTTATCTGCAAATACTGCACTTTGACACAAAGGACTGGAGCAGGATATCCTGAGGGGTCCTGAAACCATTCCCCTTGAATATCAAGGAATGACTATGTTCTGTTCATCACATCATTTGGATTGATGGCAGTAGTATTTTTAAATAATCTTTAGAAAAATGAATGTAATCATGCACATAGTTTTTATTCATTTTTGTTGAAAATAATTTGTAAATCCTGGAAGAAAATCAAAATGAAAAAAATTTTAAGAGTCCTGCTTCTCTTGCAAACAATAACAAAACTAAAACATGGATTACCAGCAAAGTTGGAAAGAGTGTGGGACTCTTCTAAAAGTGAGTATGGACACTGTAATGTGTGTAGCACATTTAATTTTTCCAAAGGGCTTCCATTTCTGTTATCTCAGTGTGTGTCTGTGCAGAAACCCTTTGAAGCAGGTCACTAAGAGGTAAGAAAAGAGAGATGGGTAGCTTGGGATTATGACAGTTCCTGTATTGACGGACTGTAGTTAATGTGTTTTTTTTTTTCTCAAAGAATCAACAGGGTCTAAGGATGAGCGCTCAGTAGTCTCTTAATGGCATCCCTCTCTCCTTGTGCTTTGTCCAGGGTAAACTGGTTGGAATCTGTGGCAGTGTGGGAAGTGGAAAAACTTCTCTAATTTCAGCCATTTTAGGCCAGGTAAGATTTTTATTACTTCCTTGGTATGTTCTGCTCAGAAAATGTTTCTAGGGAGAAGAACTCATTTGCTAGTGAACCAGAAGGGGTGGGAACAAAGGAACCTGGGTCTGTATCATGTCTCTACTTCTACCTTTAATGGCCTTGTGCCTGGAAAAGGCATAGTGGGCACCTGATGATTGGCTGACTGATGCCATTGCTGCCATTTTTCATTCCTCACACCTTCTCTTATTCAGGATATGTTCGTTGAGTTGTCAGTATGCCAGGGAGCTTGGAAGTGGCACTGAGAGATGACATACCACATGGCAGCAGACAGTCAACTGCCAGGATATGAACTAGTAGTAGCACAATCTCTTAAGTTTTCAGCCTAACCTTGTAAAGCGTTATGCCCTCAAGTTCATGTCCATAGCTAGCCTTCTTTACACAGGCACATCACAGTCAGTGAGAGAACAGGGCAGAGGGACCCAGCAGACAGCTGTCAGCATGGAGAGTGAGGAACTATAAGCAAGGACCATCACTGAGATAAATAGTCTTAAAAATGATTTTGGATGCAATAATCAGAAAAAACAAGTGACTTAGGTATTTTTAAACTTTAATTCAGCTGTCTGACTTAGGGTTGGGGTATGGCTCAATGGTAGAAAGTTTGCCTAATAAGCATGAACAAGGGCCTTGAATTAAAACCTCACTACTGCCTCTCCAAACATAAATTGATCTAATCAACTTAAACTAGCTGACTTAGATGGTTGAGATGGGGATAAACGTGATTATTACAAGATCCTGATAGAGGTGCCCCTCTGGAACACTTAGCCATGTTAAAAACATGACAAGTAGGGGAGGGGAGAGTTTCTGATAATTCCTGGTTGGGGACTTTTTCCCTGTCTTATTTACATCAGGTATCTTGATTTGTGAGCTGTGGTCCTCTTCTGGTCCTAGGAGTCTGAGGAGAGCTACACTCTGCTTTGTGACTCTCTTCAGCCCATTGACCTTTATAAAAAGCAAAAATAAAAACCTTTTTAGGTGATTTCTAACAATGAGGTTTTAGGCCCAATGATAGAGTCAAAGACCTGAGTAGGTCAGTAGGAAAAGGTGAATTTCTAAGTGCTTCTCAGCAACTTAGCTAGTTGTTATTGCCCTTTCAGAGGTTGGTTGGGCAGTGATAGGTTGAAAACTAAGTAGGATGTGGTTTCTGAATCAAATTCGGGGAGCTTCTCCTAGGGAAGCTGGTAATACAGGCCAGCCCTGCTTCTTGAGAATTTAACTCTTTGTTGACAGTGTTGCCCTATATATATTAGTGCAATAGCAGCCAGGAAAGGTGGGTTTCTGAGCACTTGGGTATACACTGAGGGTGCTTGCCAGCCTGCCAACCTGGGCAGTTAGAGCCTGCTCTCAAATATCTGTGATAGGTACGTGTTTATACATGGTACGTGATAGACAAGATTATTTGTGCAAGTACCACACAAGCCAGTTAACAAAACTGCTTCAGAATCTTAGCATCCCTAATGCAGAACAAAAGGCCTACTGTTGATTCTCAAAAGGAACCATGGATATAAATCAGTTGATACCATGCAGTAACTTTATTTTGGAGAAGAAGGTCTGTCAGTCTTAGTTGGATACTGTACTATAGGTCTCTGACTTTTTGTCTTTGGTACTCATTTTAGAGAAGCAGCTAGTCTAACCAACATCGTGCATGAATTGGGCTTCCTTCACTTTGAGGCAGGTACTAGCTATAAATTCTCAGGGCATCCTCTCCAGGGGAGTTCTGAAAAGGGTCTTCTTGCTTGAGCTTCCAATAGCAAAAGCAAGGTGCAGTTAGGAACAAAGTATAAAATAGCCAGTATATGTTAAGTGAAATGTTTGTTCACTCAAGTTGTCATGCTGGGCTCCCATTTCTCATAAGCAAATGGAACTTTCATCTTCTTTGCTGCTGTAGCTGCCTTTGAACAAAGGTGGGGTCTAGACTTGTTCAAAAAGCATCTTTAAAATGATTCAAACTTTAGATTCCATTGTAGAATGAGGGGCTTCTGCTGCGTTTGGTGCTTCCTTAATTTGATGCCATTGGATGGTTTCTTTCTTCCCAGATGACACTTATAGAGGGCAGTATTGCAGTCAGTGGAACCTTCGCATATGTGGCCCAGCAGGCTTGGATTCTCAATGCCACTTTGAGAGACAACATCCTCTTTGGGAAGGAATTCGATGAAGAAAGGCAAGGAATATTTGGTTTCTGTCATGCTTTCCATCTTGACCACAAGATGCAAGGCAGCCCATCAGCAGTCTCTGCTCTACCATGGGCTAATGCTATGCCCCTTTGTGTTCTTCAGATACAACTCAGTGCTGAACAGCTGCTGCCTGAGGCCTGACCTGGCCATCCTCCCCAACAGTGACCTGACTGAGGTATAGGCCTCTGCCCGCGGTGTCAGAGCTGCCTTCTAGGCTAGGTGCATCTTAAATGCTGGGAGAAGAGCCACACAGGGAGCTTTGCTTTCATTTGGGCCTTCATGCTGGGAAAGCATTTGCTTACTAATGTGCAGATACTAGCCACTACCTGCTTACTTTTATTAGTATTTCATGTTACATAAGTTTTAAACAAAGCCCCTTTCTTGATTCAGAGTTAGTTGTTGTTTTAACTCTACTTAAATATTTTTAAAACCACTAAATGAAGTGTGTACATGTTAAGTTTTTTCCCTAGGCTTGTTTGGCCGAACTCCTTTCTCAGTCTACAGAATCCTCTTCCATCTTTGGTTCTTTACTCTGGAGGTGTGTGTCTCCTTGTTAAAGCTTGTGTTACAGGCTGCCCTCGAAGTCTCTGGGACTGGCAGTTTTGTTCAGTGCCTTCAGCAAAGTATTTCAAACCAGATTTTGTGCACGATTTAGTTTGTTCAGAAGTTTTCAAATCAGAGTCCTCAAGATCAGCATCACCTGGGGATGAGAATGCAAATTGCTATTCAGGAGGCTGAGATAGGAAGAATTGTGGTTTAAGGCTGGCCTCAAAGTTGGGCATGGTGGTTCATACCTGTTATCCTTTTTATATGGGGAGCATAAATGGGAGGATTGCTGTCCAGGCTAACCCAGGGAAAAAAAGGAGATTCTAATAATAATAAAAATAATCATGAAAGCAAAAGAGATTAGAGGCATGATTCAAGTGGTAGAGGGCCTGGCTGGCAAGCACAGGCTCTGAGTTCAAACTCAGTACCACCAAAAAAGAAAATAAAAGAAAGAAATGCAAATTGTTTGGCCACTACCCAGTTCCGATGAATCAAACCTTCCTGGTGGTCAGGACCAACACTCTGCTTTACTAAGTGCTGCAGGTAGTTCTCATGAATGTCAAGTTTGGAAACCTTGAATTAATGAAATAATTTTTTAAGGGTGAGACTAAAGAAATTAAAAACAAAGCCAGTTACCATTTGACAATTGATACATTCGTTTGTATAATAGCATACATTCGTATATATAATAGCACTTATCAGGTGCTTGTTATCTGCCCACAACATGTGCAGCTCACAGTTGAGGGAACAGGTTACACCAACAAAAAGAGCAGTCTTTCCATGGGAGCAAGTGGAAAAGAGTTGGGAAAGTTTGACAGAAGAGATGGGGCCACGCCCAGGCAGGCACAGTGCGTAGTATGCCATGTGTGTTCACAGTGCACACATTGTTTGAAGTGACTCTGATCCTTGGGTACTAGGGGGACTTGTCATGGAACAGGAGAAGGCCAGGCAGCTGGGGACAAAAGATTTGCTTTGTATGTTGTGTTTGGATGTCCAAGGTTCTTGAAGAGTTTTAAAGCAAGGGTGAAAAATGGTCAGCTTTATGGTTTAGAAAGATCTTTCTGGAGCAGGGAATGTGGCTTAGTGGTAGAGTGCTTGCATAGCATGCACCAAGCCCTGAGTTCCATTTCTCAATACCACATAAACAGAAAAAGCCAGAAGTGGCACTGTGCTCTAGTGCAAAAGAAGCTCAGGGACAGTGCCTGTACCCTGACCTCAAGCCCCAGGACTAACAAAAGAAAAAAAAATAGGCCCAAAAGATTAACTGAAAATCCACAAATGAAAATATAGGGGCTTGCCTAGGAAGCATGAGTTCCTGAGTTCAATCCCTAGTACTGCAAAGAAAGGAAAGGAGGAAAGGAGAGGGAGAGGAGAATAAAAAGGAGAGGGAAGGGAAGAAAGGGAGAAAGATCTTTTGGCCCTATGGGAAGTGGATTTGGAGGGGCAAGCTGTGTCGCTGAACAGCTGCTGCCTGAGGCCTGACCAGGCCATTCAGTCCATAAGTAGGACTAAGTGGTACCCAGATGCTTGTGGGCTGAGACTCCCAGTTCTTGGATCATCCCAGGCAGGAATTCAAGAGAAGGAGCTAGCTTGAGTAGAGATGAGAAGAGGTAACTGGGTGACTATTAAACACCGTTACAGACTTAAGCTGGAGGCTTGCTCTCCTTTGCTGTTGGTCTTTAGATTGGTGAGCGAGGAGCCAACCTGAGTGGTGGACAGCGCCAGAGGATCAGCCTTGCCCGAGCTTTGTACAGTGACCGGAGCATCTACATCCTGGATGACCCCCTCAGTGCCTTAGATGCCCATGTGGGCAACCACATCTTCAACAGTGCTATCCGGAAGCACCTCAAGTCCAAGACGGTTCTGTTTGTTACCCACCAGTTACAGGTATGGTGTGCTTCTCCCTGGACTGCCCACCTTGGCTTGAGAAGTCAGAACGGGGCCTGGTCTGACCATTTATGTGGGGCAAGTAGAGATCACTGGAATTAACAGTTTTCATTTCCTCAACTTTCATTTCTTCTGGCATGTTGTCAGTTAGTCATCTGAATCAGATCAGGTGCAGCAAGTAAAGGGCCTGACAATAGTGAATGAACTAATTCAAGTGTGAGTTAGTTTGTTGACATTTGCAAACATGAGGGAAGCAAACTCTTCTCCCTCCACTATTCCATGACAGGCAGGAGAGCCACCCAAGGTTGATGCCTTCTAAATTGTCAAGTTTGAAAGACTAGATTCCAACAAAAAATCTAATTCTGTGTACTTCTGAGTACAGTAAAAGTATATGACACTTAATGGAACACTTGTAGATAGCTTCACCATCAGATGAGTGTCAGAAACAGAAAGAGTTTTTTGAACTAAGCAGAGGTTCAGTACTGACACTCGACATTTTGGACTTTCTTGTTCTTTGTGGGAGCTGCTTTTTACTTACCTGGCCTCACTCTAAGAGATCCCAGTGGTACCTCTTTCCCTAACTTTAACAACTAAACATGGCTCAAGATGTTGCCACAAGTCCCCTGGGCAGCTGAATTACCTCTGGCTGTAATATGGTAAGGTCTGGGTATTGGAATACATTCACAAAAAGATCAGCACTACTATCTTGTGCTTGCCTTTGTGTCCAGTACCTGGTTGATTGTGATGAAGTGATCTTCATGAAAGAGGGCTGTATCACAGAGAGTGGTACTCATGAAGAACTGATGAACTTAAATGGAGATTATGCTACTATTTTTAATAACCTGTTGCTCGGAGAGACACCACCAGTGGAGGTAAGATTTGCTAAGTTTCTTTGTGTCCTGTCTACTAGAGGAACTAGAACAGTAGAAAGACTTGGGGAGAGCCTCACTGAATGCAGACCTGTGTCTGCTGGGCAAAAGGCCTGTGTTCCTGTGACCCCCTACTACTATGCATTTGTTCACATGCTGATTCTCCTGCTGGAGAGCAAGATGATGGGTGGTAAGCTGGATTCTTCCATCCTGGAAAACTTACTAATAAAAAGGTGCAGGCTGTTGTGTGGTCAGAGCTAAGTTCCCTAAACTTCACCAACCCTGACTGGAGCACAGTATAAAGTTCTTATTTTAATAAAAATAAGGAAGTAGCTTGAATATTTTTAGAAATGATTTATAGTGTCTTATTGCTGACTTGGCACAATACCTATTGTGTTTTAGATTAGGCATGTGTAGAGATAGCACCCTACTTACTTAAATTATTGGGGCTATGTGATCAAATATAATTATCCTGATTCACAGAGGAGGAAATGGCAGCTCAGAGAGGTCAAGAAGCTACTAATGAGGGTGGGTTGACTGAGAAATGCTGTTTGTGTCTGCCTCCTGTGTAACCCAGAGGTAGTGACTTTCTATGCCTCCACTTTGGCTCTGCATTAGGCATTGCACAGTGCATTCGTACTTAGAGCTAGCCTAAGAGGCTGTTTTTCCTTCTGCCTGCTTCTTACTTACCTGCAGTCCCAAGGTGACGTAGGCAGGGTTCAAAGGTGCTTTCTTTGCTACCAAGTCATTTTGACATTGTAGTGGAAGGAAAGCAGAAAGTTATAGGACCTTTTCTAGGACTTCTGTCTCAGTGTTTGAATTTCATTCCATTTGATTTCAGATGCAGTTCAATTAACTGTTCATGACTGATGTATTTTTGGTAGAATTCAAACTTTCTGGGTAAAACTCAATCCTTCCAGGAGACATCAGTAAATTCCATTGAGACACTCTGACCCATATTTGTTTTATGACTCTGATTCTCAGGGCACTTTGGATGCCTCTAATTTTTCCTTATTGCTGAATCATAAAGGGGAAAACAAGGAGTGAAGTTAAAATATGGAAATATGCAATGAGCAAGACACTAATGGTCAGTGTGTTACAGTAGCAGAAACAGATGAGTGTCACTTGAGGAGGTGTGGCTCAGTTGAAAGAGCACTAGCCAGTGAGCCAGAGCATCAGGTTCTGAGTTTGAGTCCAAGACTACACCTAAAAAAAAAGAACGTCACTTGACTTTTTATAGCTTTAGTTTCCTCATCTTAAAAGCAGAAATGTTATTGGCCTCAATGCAATCTATTGCATTAATTACATTAACAAATATGCAATCTGTTTCCCCCAGTAAATGGTCATCAAATAGTAATATCTTTTTAGACAGTACATTTATTCACATATTGCAGCAAATGACATTTAGATTCCTATCTTGTGTTCCAGATATGACTTTAAATTTTATATTTTTACATTTTTTTTCATGGTCAATTCAAAAGGCCAAGTCAGAAAGCCTGGGCCATGAGTTTGACAATATGACGGAATTGAATGTAGTAAACTATTGAGGAAAATTCCTGTATAAAGATGTTACAGGAACTTGACAGGGAGGGCATTGAGCATTAACTGGTATCTCTGGTCTCAGGTTTCTATTGCATGGATATTTGGTGAGTCCTGCTGTGTCCTGATATGGCCAGCTCTTGGTGATAGACCCTTGGGTTGTGGATAATCCTGCATAAGACATCATCTCTGATCTTGAAGGACCCATGGACTCACAGTGCCCTAGGGAAGATCAGTGCTTTCATGTGTGACTGGTGTCTGTAACATCATATCATGTTGATTAGCTGAGGGAGAGCCGGGAGAGACCCTCACAAAGAGTAAAAAATTTGAGTCTATTTGAACTGGAACTACTCTGGTTGAGCTGGGCATTTATTTCTAGTGGATAAACCAGATGGGCAAGAATATAGCAGTAGAAACTGTGGTGTGGTTAAGGGCTAGTGTGGATGTGAGCCATAGAAAACAAAATAAAATGGGAGAGGAACTTGAAGAACTAAATAGAAGTCCATATTATGGAGATCTTGAAAAACCTGGCTGAGAAGTTTGAGGTTCGGGTTTATTCCATAAGATAATAAAAATGATCAGCTCTATGGATGATTTAGTGGTATGATGGACCAGGAGAATTGAAAGGACTCCATAACCAATATTTCAGGCATAGTAGAGTCTGAGTTTAGGTCTGAAATAACTTTGGAGAGAGAAAAATGTCAATAAACTAACAGGATAGGCAACCCAGGTATTAGATTTAGGAGTTGAGGAAATACAGGAAATGAGTCTAGGAAGTTGTATGTGTTGTGGAGGGAAGAGGTGCTATGCCTGCAGTCCCAGCATTATGAGGCTAAGACAGGAAGATCTTGAGTTCAAGACCTACAGAGTGAGATCCTGTCTCAAAAACAAACAAAACTTGTATTATCTCTTAATAATATTAGTAGCTCAATAGATGATTCTCTAATATGTATACTGTGGATCTCATCTGTATGGCCATATCATGACTGGAGATACCTTTTTCTCTTCTTTTTTTTAAATATTAGATTAATTCAAAAAAGGAAACCAGTGGTTCACAGAAGAAATCACAAGACAAGGGTCCCAAAACAGGATCAGTAAAAAAGGAGAAAGCAGTGAAGCCAGAGGAAGGTAACATTTTTAGATTTTTAGATTTTCAAGGAGGTTTATCAGGAGTTATGCTATATGGTAATTAATGATGTTTGATACCATTGTTTATATTCTAGAATACTAAGGTTCTTAGATAATATTGGAGACTTCCAGGTACTTTCTGTTTGCCTAAGATTGACCTTTCATCCTTTCCACCCAGGGTGGAGTTACTTGTAGATAATTACAGCTGAATCATTGTGAGTAAGAAAAATATAGACGAAAGTGTTCCTTTCCTTTCTACCTTTCACCTCTGTACTTTTTCTTAAATATAACTTTGTTATTATTAAGGAATTGTACAGAGAGGTTACAATTCCACTAGTAAGGTAATGAGTACAATTTGTTCTTGGACAGTGTCACCTCTAGTTCCACCTCACCTCAGTACTTGCGAAGCCAGCCTTAGCCAAGGCAGAGGTGTTCCAGTTGTAAGCATGGTAAAATTTTGTTTTGTTTTTCCAGTCCTGAGGCTTGAACTCAGGGACTGGGCACTGTCCCTGAACTTGTTTTGCCCAAGGCTAGCCCTCTATCACTTGAGCCACAGCACCACTTCTGGCTTTTTCTGTTTATATGGTACCAAGGAATTAAACCCAGGGCTTTATGCATGCTAGGCAAGCACTCTACCACTAAGCCACATTCCCAGTCCCTGAACTTTTGAAAACTATGTTTGAAGTGGACTCACAAGCCTGGTGCTGCTGGCTCATGCTTGTAATCCTAGCTACTCAGTAGGCTGAGATTGCATATCACAGTTCACAGTCAGTCCAGACAAAAAATTCCATGAGATTCTTTTTTTTTTTTGGTCCGGTCTGGGCCTGGGCGCTGTCCCTCAGCTCTTCAGCTCAAGGCTAGTGCTCTACCACTTGAGCCACAGCACCACTTCCGGCTTTTTTCTTTTTGCTTATGTGGTGCTGAGGAATCGAACCCAGGGCCTCATGCATGCAAGGCAAGCGCTCTACCACTGAGCCACCTTCCCAGCCCTCCATGAGATTCTTATTGCCAACTAACTACCAAAAAAACTGGAAGTGGAGCTGTGGCTGAAGTGGTAGAGTGCTAGCCTTGCACAAAAGAGCTCAGGGTCAGTATCCAGGCTCTGAGTTTCAGCCCCAGGACTAGCACAAAAAAGAAAGAAAAAAAAAAGTGGACCTGGAGACTGCTGCCCCAGCACTCTGGAGAACTTACAGCTAACTATTTTCCTACTTGTCTTTTCCTATCCAAAGCCTGGCCCTGTTTTTCTAACCCTTAATCTTATCAATTGAAGCTAATCCTGGGAGTTAAGAGAACCTATTTGTAATAACCAAGACATTTTTGCTTTGTGATTTTAATCTCTTATGTCAACTTGGAAAATGAAAAGAAAGTGCTGATTGTTTTAAAACAGAGTTTTAAAGGGGTCACCCTTTCACCCGACCCATTTGAATCTAGAGGCTTTCCTGGCTTGCCAGTGCTTTGGATATGGGCCTGGTCTCACTTCTTTGTCCTTAAACTGGATGGCTGGCATGCTATTTTATCATTCTCTGCCTCTTTCTTTGAGAGAAAATATGAATTTTTTAAATTCATGCAAGATTTAAGATAGTTTAATGACACAGAAATTAAATAGCACAGAAAGCTGAGACAATTGTTTGTATCTGCCACAAGCAGCATAAGTTAGAATATCACTTTGACACTTTCATTCTCATTTTAAAGCCATTCAGCTGGCTACTTCTAACTCAAAGAGCTCACAGATGAATGGCTTATTCCAAGATTGTTAGATGTTATGATGAAGAGGCAGCAGATTTCTGTATAGCTGTTTTCTCCATTGATGTCAGCATCAATCATCTAACACCAAGAAAATTCATGACATGTTCTTGAACTTTTTCTCTCATCTAGTAGGCAGTCAATGACCCAGTGCCCTTGTCCAAGTTTACCTCCTGAAATACCATTGTCTGCCACTACTCTGACTTGGTTCTAACAACTTCTTATCTGGAACATTCATACCAATGTGATATGACGGCATTTATAGAAAAACAAGTTCCATGTAGAAAACAACTTGACTAACTACATCTAACTATATCCTAGTCAATCAACTTTTCAGTTGATTACAGCCTAACTAGTTAATGGGCTCCAGTTATAAGGCTCCAGCAACAACCAAAGCTAAGTGACTGATTAAACTCTATGCTAGTTTGGTCTTTTGGACCCAGTACAGGCAACATCCATTGCTTTCTATAAAAGGTGATTTCCTATTCTCTCCCAAGTTCATGTTTCTTTTCCCATATCTAGGGCAGCTCGTGCAGCTAGAGGAAAAGGGACAGGGTTCTGTGCCCTGGTCAGTCTATGGTGTGTACATCCAGGCTGCAGGGGGCCCTTTGGCATTCCTTGTCATCATGTCCCTGTTTATGCTGAATGTGGGCAGCACAGCCTTCAGTACCTGGTGGTTGAGCTACTGGATCAAGCAAGGAAGTGGGGTAAGATCACTCAGCTCCGGGAGAGTTGCATGTCTGAGAATGGCTATCTCTTGATAGTCCCTCACTGTTATTATGGAAACTCCTCTAGTTTTTACTTAAAAGAGTCAATAGGAACATCACAATACTCCATTAATATTTATGATTTTTACATTTTTATGTATCAGATTAAAATTTAACTTAAAAAAGCCAGGCATGGTAGTTCATGTCTGTAATCCTAGCTACTCAGGAGGTGGAGAGAGGAGGATCTCAAGCTTGAGACCAGCCAGGGCAAAGTAAACAAGACCCTATCTCAAAAATGAAATACAAACGAAAGTGCTGAGTGTTGGTTCAGCTGTAAAAGCACTTGTTTTGAGATCTTGGGGGTCTGTCCCCGATGTTGCCAAAAAAAATAAAATGAAAGAAGCAATAAACAAGTTGAAGCTGGGAGCTGGTGCCTCATACCTATAATCCTAGCTACTCAAGAGGCTGAGATCTTCGGATTGCGGTTGGAAGCCAGCCCGGGTAAGAAAATCTATGAGACTCTTATCTCCAATAAACCACTCAGAAAACCAGAAGAGACACTGTGGTTCAAGTGGTAGAGCACTAGCTTTGAGCTGAAGAGTTGAAGGACAGCATCCAGTCCCAGAGTTCAAGCCCCACAACCAACCAAAAAAAAAAAAAAAGAGAGAGATTTCCTGAATGAAAAGGGTGAATCTCTACTGTAGTCTCAAAACAGAAAAACTCCTAATTAACCCATGGGCTCAGGCGGGTCAGTAGGACATATGCAGGTTGTCTGCTCTTATCCAGTGGAAAAGAGAGAAGCAGAGTAGAGGGATGAGAAGCAAAGTCTTCCTGTTCACTGCTACCAGATCCCATGGTCATTCTTTGAGCAAGGGCACATGGCTATCTTTAGGAGCTTCGACTCATGGCACCTTGTCCCCAAACAGAATACCACAGTGATTCGAGGGAACAGGAGCTCCGTGAGTGACAGCATGAAAGATAATCCATTCATGCACTACTATGCCAGCATCTATGCCCTCTCCATGGCAGTTATGCTGATCCTGAAAGCTGTTCGTGGAGTGGTTTTTGTCAAGGTATGCTGTGCTGGGTGCCCGCTACAATGTCTTTCCCTTTAACTATGGTGATCACTTAGTCAGGCTTCATGTCTGGGTCCAGCAGGATGACACCAAGCTGAAATGACTTGTATGCATTAGGCTCAGCTTTGCCAGTTAGTCATCCTTGCCTCCTGCACTTGTCCTATGGAGCAGTGACAACCCAAGTGGAATGAGCCTGCCTGAGTCTCTGGGCCCTGACTATTTTGTTTCTGCTTCTCAGGGCACCCTTCGAGCTTCCTCTAGGCTGCATGATGAGCTTTTCCGAAGGATCCTTCGGAGCCCTATGAAGTTTTTTGACACTACCCCTACAGGGAGGATTCTCAACCGGTTTTCCAAAGACTTGGATGAAGGTATATCTCACTGGTCCCTTTTACACACAAGTTGGAGCTTGCTGTATCTCCAGCCCTCTGTATGAAGGTCACTTTTGCAGCTCAGTCTGTCCTGACTGAGAATGCAGTGGCTGCTGGATTTTTCACCAGGAACCTTTTGTCTGAGCTCTTTCTGCCTTCTCTGATCTGAAAACAGGTTCAGGGGGTTCTGTTAGGATTTGGACAGGGGCCTGTGAGATTCCAAAGAACATGTCTACTTTGTAGTAATGCACTGGTTGGTAGATCCCTGCAGCTTCTGATGGATTTATCATTGAAATTACCACAAGAAGCTTACGTCCAGAAAGGCTAAGTAGCTTTCACAAGGTCAAACAACTGTTGATTGGGTAACCAAGCTGGGAATGAGCCAGGCTGTATTGACCCCAAAACTGGTGTTTTTAACTACTGAAGTTACCTCCATAACAGGAATTAGTTTCAGGAGTCATTAAGCCAGAGTGGTCAGCGGTAACAATGAATCAGAACTACCCTAGTAGCAAAACTGATACATAGCACATTTCCACATCTGTTAAACACATGTACACACACACACACACACACACACACAAGCCAGATGGTATAAAGGATACCCATAATCCTATCCCTGTTGTTAAAGTAAGAGCATTATGAGTTCAAGGCCAGTCTGGGCTACACAATGAGAGACTATCTTAAAAGAAAATCCTAGCTACTCAGGAGGCTGAAGTCTAAAGATCACAGTTTGAAAACAGCCCAGGCAAGAAAGTCCCTAAGACATACCTCCAATTAAGACATACCTCCAAGCTGGAAGGGTAGCTGTGCCTCAAGTGATAGTGTGTTAGCCTGGAGCACAAAAGCTCAGAAACAGTGCCCAGGCCCAGATTTCAAGCCCTAGGACACCCATGTGCATGTGTGTGCATGTATACACACACACATACACACACATATCCATGATAAAAATTTCATGTACACACACATACACATATCCATGATAAAAATTTCTTAAATATTAGCAATTCATTGATATAAAGAATTGGGAGGGGCTGGGAAGGTGGCTCAGTGGTAGAGCGCTTGCCTTGCATGCCTGAGGCCCTGGGTTTGTCCTCAGCACCACATAAGCAAAAAGAAAAAAGCTGGAAGTGGCGTTGTAGTTCATGTGGTAGAGCACTAGCCTTGAGCTGAAGAGCTGAGGGACAGCGCCCAAGCCCAGAGTTCAGGCCCCATGACCGGACCCAAAAAAAAAAAAAAAAAGAATTGGGAAATGTGGATTATCTCTGTCTAATTCGCATATTTATTTTCTAGCTATTTTACAACTAGCATATTTCTAAAGGGTGTGTTACAATGTTTGCCTAGCGAATAAAAAAGGGGTAGAGCCCAGGCACAGTGGCTCAAGCATGTAATCCTAGCTACTTGGGAGGCAGAGATGGGGGCTCACGATTCAGGGCCAGCCTAGGCAGAAAAATTTGCAAAATTCCATCTCAACTAATGGCTGGGCACAGTGGTATACCTTGTCAACATGGCAACAAAGGAAAACAAACAGGAAGATTTCAATCCAAACCATCCCAAACATAAAGCAAGATATTACCTTAAAAATAACCATAAAGGGCCGGGCGCTGGTGGCTCAAGCCTGTAATCCTAGCTACTCAGGAGGCTGAGATCTGAGGATCTCTGTTCAAAGCCAGCCCCGGCAGGAGAGACCGTGAGACTCCTATCTCCAATAAACCACCAGAAAACGGGAAGTGGCGCTATAGCTCAAGTGGTAGAGCGCTCGCCTTGAGCTGAAGAGCTGAAGGACAGCGCCCAGGCCCAGAGTTCAAACCCCACGGCTGACCAAAAAAAAAAAAATAATAACCATAAAGGGACCAGTAGAGTGGGTCAACTGGTAGAGTACCAGTTTTGCAAGCTCAAGACCTTGAGTTCAAAACCTCAGTACTGCCAATAAAATAAGAGAGGGAGGAAGAAAGCAGAGCAGAAAGGATAGAAGATTGTTTTCTTAGGCCAAGAAAAATTAAGGCAACCAAGTTTCTAGATTTTCCTTTGGTCAGTAGCAGCACAGACTTCACATAGAAATTTGGTGGATCCTCTTGTTGTTTTCTAAAATGTTGACTATTTTCCTGGCTTAGGGATCCAAAAGAATGACACTTGGTCCCTTGCTGTTTCCGCAGTTGACGTCCGCCTGCCATTCCAGGCTGAGATGTTCATCCAGAATGTTATTCTGGTATTCTTCTGTGTTGGGATGATCGCAGGAGTTTTCCCGTGGTTCCTTGTGGCTGTGGGTCCCCTTGTCATCCTCTTTTCAGTTCTGCACATCGTCTCCAGGTAACCACAAGGTGCAGGTGTCTGCCAGGGCAGGGAGGAAACCAGAGAGGCTGGCCTCCCACTGTGACTGGAACCTGCTCTCTCACAGGGTCCTGATTCGTGAGCTGAAGCGTCTGGACAACATCACTCAATCACCTTTTCTCTCACATATCACATCCAGCATACAAGGCCTTGCCACCATCCATGCCTACAACAAAGGGCATGAGTTTCTACACAGGTTAGTGCTGCGGAGGTCAGAGTATGGGACAGAAACCTCATTATAAAAGTATTGGTGATTTTATAGGGCAATCTCTGAAAATCCAGTTGTTTTGTGCGTTTCTTTGTAAATGAGAAGAGAACATAGATGTGGAATCTACTGGCTTTTGTTCCTCAAAAGCTGTGTTTGGAAATTTTTTGTTTTTTGGGGTGGGATTTTTGTTATTGAAATATTAAAAGATAGTCATTGATACTTATGCTCCATGATTTTAGCCATTGAATATTGTTTTGTTTTTTTTTTGTCGGTCGTGGGGCTTGAACTCTGGGCCTGGGCGTTGTCCCTCAGCTCTTCAGCTCAAGGTGAGCGCTCTACCACTTGAGCTACAGCGCCACTTCCAGTTTTTCTAGTGGTTTATTGGGATAGGAGTCTCATGGTCTTTCCTGCCCGGGCTGGCTTTGAACCTCGATCCTCAGATCTCAGCCTCCTGAGTAGCTAGGATTACAGGCGTGAGCCACCGGTGCCTGGCCTGAATATTGTTTATGTATGAAATTCCAGTGCATATTCAAAAATATGTGTGCTTTCTTTTTATTCCTTTGAAGACATCGGTTGTCTAAGTGTGATGTGTTGTCTTAGATTTGGATTGTGGAACAGAAAATAGACATTAGTGGAAAAACAAATGAAATCCAAATAGTATATAGAATTTTAATAATAACAATATACCGGTATAGTTTTTTCCAATTTAATTCTTAGTTTTCATAACATATTATAGTTATAAAAAATTAAATTATGGGAAATAGGGCAAAGAGTATACAGTTACTCTCTATGCTAGCTCTATATCTTTTCTGTGAACATAAAATCAGGGGCTGGGAAGGTGGCTCAGTGGTAGAGTACTTGCCTTGCATGTCTGAGGCCCTGCGTTCAATTCCTCAGCCCCACATAAGCAGAAAAAAGGTGGAAGTGGCACTGTGGTTCAAATGGTAGAGTGCTAGCCTTGAGCTGAAGAGCTGAGAGGCAGCACAAAGGCCCAGAGTTCAGGCCCCATAACCAACAAAAATAATAAATAATAAAAAATAATAATAAAATCATTTCAAAGGGCTGGGAAGGTGGCACAGTGGTAGAGTGCTTGCCTTGCATGCATGAAGCCCTGGGTTCAATTCCTCAGCACCACATAAGCAGAAAAAAGATGTGGCACTGTGGCTCAATTAGGAGGGTGCTAGCCTTAAGCTAAAAAGCTGAGGGACAGCGCCCAGGCCCAGAGTACAAGCCCCACAACAGACAATAACAAAAACAAAACCATTGTAACTGTGTATGAAATCCATATCAGGAGGCTTTATGAAAGTTGTTGGTAACTCTAGGTTGCAGATATAGGAAGGGAAAAGGCAGTAGAAAAATAGTTCTGCTTAACTTTGGTATATGTGAAGCACACCATGGAAGACCCTCTTGATGCAATTAATATATACTAAAAAAGAAAAGAAAAGAATTCTAGGAAAATATGGCTGGCTCCACTGGAAAGGGAGAGGGCTGATGAGAGAGGAGTATATGAGGACAAATGCAGTGAGAGTAGTTAGTTTGCATGTGTGAAAATAGGACAATGAAACCTGCTGAATATGTTTGGGGAAGGGATGGTGGGATTGGGGGGAGCAGAAGGGGTGTAGATGCTATACTGTATATACATAAGGAAATGTTGCATTGGGAACCCCCTACCTCCCCCGATACAACCAGTGTATGCTGACTAAAAGCAAGCCACTAGTGGCTCAACGCCTATAAAGGCTGAGATCTGAGGATCAAGGTTCAAAGCCAGTTTAGGTAAATCTGAGACTCTTACCTCCATCTAATGAGAAAAAAAAAGTGGAGCTGTGGCTCAGATGGTAGAGTACCAGCCTTGAGTAAAAAAGCTAAGCAAGATTTCAAGCCTCAGTACCCCCCCGTCTCTCTCTCTTTCTCTCTCTCTCTCTCTCTCTCTCTCTCTGTCTCTGAAAAAAGCAAGCATAGTGCTGGGTACCATTCCAGCAAGCTTCAGTGGGTATAATCATGTATTCTAGGGTTGGGGACAGCAGTGCCATGCTCTTTCATGGCAGGCTGTCTGAGTTCTTCTTGCTATGGCTCTTTCACCCTTCATGCTCTTTAGGCTTATGGCCTTGGGTAACAAGTACTACTCCACATAAGCAGTGTGTGGGCACACACTGGGCAGTGTTCCCACATTGACCCTGAGATTTTCTCTTTCTTGCCATTGGTCATGTTCTGCTGTCTACCTTTGTATCTTGACATTTTTCCAAAGCCTGACACGCCTCTTAATCTCCTTTCCCATGCTTCTTCCTATGCTACTAAGGTAGATATTTCCTCCCTAATATCCTTAATAGGAAGTTTGGCTGTTTTTGAAAGGGTAACTATCATAAGAACACCCCATATCCTCCTTTGTGGAGCCAATAACACCTGTGCTCTTAAAGTTCCTGTGTTGTTTCTTAACTGAAAATAAGAAAAAAAATAATGCCTCTGAAGAAGAGGCATAGAAGCTTCAGCTTGACCATCATCCATGAACAATTGTACTCTATTACCCATTAGATGTTCCATCTCCCCCACAGGTACCAGGAGCTACTGGATGACAACCAGGCTCCTTTCTTCTTGTTCACCTGTGCAATGAGGTGGCTGGCTGTGCGGCTGGATCTCATCAGCATTGCCCTGATCACCACCACTGGGCTGATGATTGTCCTGATGCACGGGCAGATTCCCCCGGCCTACGCTGGTCTTGCCATCTCCTATGCTGTCCAGGTCAGTGCCTGGGGTGGGGCCAGGTGGGAGTCCTTGTATGAAAATTTCCTTTGTTGCTATAGAGAAGCATGACTTGGACAGAAATGGGGAATTCACCGTAAGCTGCTATCTCACCATTGGATTCCTAGATCTTCTGGTTTAATCTGACAGTAACAATGTATTTGTCTTGGGCAGGGAAGGCTGGGAGAAGTGTAGGGATGAAATCTAGGAATAAAAGGTTTTAACTCTGCTGCATGTGTTTAAGAGATAAGGTACTGTTTTTTTGTCATTAAAAAAAAGCAATAAAAATGACTTTATATCTGACTTCTGGAATTGAAACCCCTTTCTCTATACAACTATTTAATAGAAAGGAAATCTTTCAAAACTTACTAGATAGCGGGGTGCCAGTGGTTCATGCCTATAATCCTAGCAATTCCAGAGGCAGAGATCTGAGGATCAAGATTCGAAGCCTTCCTGGTCAGGAAAGTCCATGAGACTTTTATTCTCCAATTTACCACTAAAAAGCTGGAAGTGGAGCTGTGGCTCAAGTAGTTGGGTGCTAACGTTAGCAAATTTATTTGCTTTGGCTCAGAGACAGTGCCCATACCCTGAGTTCAAGCCCCAGCCCCCACCAAAAACAGAAAAATTAGATATTCTAATAAGCAAAAACAAAAGCCTTTGTAATCATAGGTTTCTGTGTTCAGTACCATCTCTGCTGTCTTTCTGGTCTTCTATGAAATCTTTCTTTCTTTTTTTTTGTCAGTCATGGAGCTTGAACTCAGGGCCTGGGCTCTGTCCTTGAACTCTTTTGCTCAAGGCTCCACCACTTTGAGGCACATCTCCACTTCTGGTTATTAAGTGCTTAATTAGAGATAAGAGTCTCACCAGGACTTTTCTGCCTGGGCTGGCTCTGAACTGCAATCCTCAAATCTCAGCCTCCTAAGTAGCTAGAATTACAGGCATGAGCCACTGACACTCAGCTAATAGTTCTGACTTTAGTATCCTGTTTATATTGACATTTTTTTCAGCCTCTGATTTCCCCAATACTATTTATAGGTGAACCCTTCTGGGCCCTAGGGATAATTAGAAGTCTTCAAATAACTCAAAAACAAATTCTAACATGAATACTGACTGGATATTTGAGGGTTGTTAAGTAGATTGTTTTGCTTTACTTGTCCTGAGGATTAAGCTGAACCTTCAGACTTACTGAACACGCACTATCACTTGAGCTACTGCTCCCCTCCCCACCCTTTTTTTTGTCTTCCTTTTCATATAAAGTCTCTCTTTTTAGTTGTCATTCCAATTTTGGAGTTTTATTTGTTGTATTTTGCTTTGCTATTGTTTTTGCCTAGGACCAACCTCAGATTGGGATTCTCTTTGTAGCTAGGATCACAGGTATGTAACACCATACCTTGCTTGTTAAGATGGAGTCTCATTATTTTTTTTGCCTGATTTGGCTTCAAACTAAAATCCTCTTGATCTTTACCTCTTTGTAACTAGGGTTCTAGGCATGAACCACCATTTCTGGTCTAAAATTTATTGAGGACATAAACGAAGTGAGGGCTTTGTACTCGCTAGGCAGTGAGCCACACCTACAGATCTAAATTTTAAAAATAATATTAGAGTTGCTTTTTTTTTTAAGAGTCCTTCTAACCAAAGACACTGTACGAAAGGAAATGTCATCATTACCTGACTCACATAATTGTAATCCCTCTCTATATCACCTCTATAATAGCAATAAAGTAAAACTATTTAAAAAGAGTCCTGACGCCAGGCACTGGTGACTCACACCTGTAATCCCAGCTACTCAGGAAGCTGAGATCTGAGGATTGTGGTTCAAAGCCAGCCTGGGCAGAAACGTCTGTAAGACTTATCTCCAGTTAACCACCAGAAAACCGGAAGTAGTGCTGTGGCTCAAATGGTAGAGCACTTGGTGTGAGCTGAAGAGTGTAGGGACAGTGCCCAACCAATACCCTCCCCCCCACAAAAAAAAAAAAGTCCTATAGCAAAAGCAATCCTTAGCAGGAAAAACAATGCTGGGGAAATATCAATACCAAATACCAAGCTTCAAACTCTGTTATAAAACTGTAGTTATAGCCGGGTGCAATAGACACATGAAGAAATGCTGAGCATCACTGGCCATAAAAGAAATGCAAATCAAAAGCACATTGATATTCCACCTCACCCCAGTTAGAATGGCCACTTCATCAAAAAAACAAATAACAACAGATGCTGGCAAGGATGTGGCTGAATAGGAATACTACTGCACTGTTGGTGGGAATGTAACCTGGTTCAACCACTTTGGAAGTTCCTCAAAAGACTAAACATAGAACTCCCCTATGATCCAGCAATCCCACTCCTGGGCATTTATCCAAATGATTTCAAGCTAAACCACGTTAAAGCTACCAGCATAATGGGGCTGGGAAGGTGGCTCAGTGGTAGAGCACTTGCCTTGCATGCTCGAGGCCCTGGGTTCGATTCCTCAGCACCACATAAGAAAAAAGCCAGAAGTGGCACTGTGGCTCAAGTGGTAGAGCGCTAGCCTTGAGCTGAAGAGCTGAGGGACAGCGCCCAGGCCCAGAGTTCAGGCCCCACAACCGGACCCCAAAAAAAAAAAAAAAAGCTACCAGCACAACTATGTTCATTGCAGCATTATTTACCATAGCTAAGATATGGGACCAACCCAGATGCCAATATATGAATGGGTTAAGAGAATGTGGTATATATACACCATGGATCAGAAAGAATGATATCACCCTTTTTATAAGGAAATGAAAAGACTTGGAAAAAATATTAAGAGAAGTAAGCCAGACTCAAAGAAACATAGGTTCTATGGTTTCCCTCATTTGTAAATAATTAGTATATGCATAGGATAGCCCTGGCAGAGAATCATGATAACTCAAGAGCTTTGTGCATATGACCATACAAAATGATGCTAATTGAAATGAACTCTTAAGACATGGAAACAACAGGTCACTTTTTTTTTAGCTGTCAGCCTTGATGTCGCCAATGTACAGTATCTAGTTCTTTCTTCTTATTTTATTTTATTTTTATTTTTCTGCCAATTTATCCCTGGTAATCTCTGTCTTTGATTCTTGTACCCTCCATCTTGTATATATGTTTATCTGATTTGGGGAATGGAAGGGAAATAACAAAATCCTGAAAGAAATACAAAGGATGACCCATTGCAACAATGATATTCTTAAGACATTATGTTGGAAATGAACTTTTCAACTTTGGTCAGGGAGTGGGGTGGAGGGAAGGGATAGTGGGAGATCAACAATGGAGCGGGTAACAATGTTCAACAAGAAATGTACCTCACTCATGTAACTATAACCCCTCTGTATAGCATCTCAACAATAAAATAAAATGAAAATTAAAAAGGAGTCCTATTTTAGAGATAAAAGCTGAAATATTTATGGACAAAAGGATAAGATGATGGAGATTTGCTTTCCGCTAATCTGGGAAATGCGAGCCGAATTGGCTGTGGACACACACCTGAGATGGTGTGGTTGGTCCCTGGGTCATTTTCCAAGTGGGCTTTTGATACGTGGGGCTCATTACACTACTCTACTCTTGTCTGTATTTGGCGTTTTCCCATACTGGAAAGATTATAAATAAGCCAAAGAAATTCCAAAGAGCTTCCCAGACTTCCTGAATGATTGATGAGGGAGCCACTGTGTTCAGAATCTCCAGTTTAAGGTGCACAGGGATTCTGCATTCACTTGTATCTTAGTCTTCTATCTTTTATCTTCCTTTTCTGGAAGCATTCTCACTGGTTGCTCACAGATGGAACTCTGCTGTGACTGCCACAGCAGGCTGATAAACTTGTGGGCCTGAAAAAGGTCCAGAAGTTAACGCAGCTACCGAAGTGTATTACTGACATACAAAGAGAGCTTGAAGGGCTTTGGATGTAAGAGTTTGGTGCCAGCAGGACCATGTTACCCTTTCGAGTACCCAGCACTGCAGTAGATAAAGGCCCTGAAACCAGCTGCCGCAAATGATCAGCTAGTTCTTAAAACTGAGTTCTGTTGCATGGCTTGGCAACAATTCTGTTGATAACAATTCTGGTTTTGGATTTTTGTTTTTCATTATCAGTTAACGGGGCTGTTCCAGTTTACCGTCAGACTAGCATCTGAGACAGAAGCTCGATTCACTTCAGTGGAGAGGATCGACCACTATATTAAGGTCAGACTGTTACAGGCCTTCACTGGGATCTGGCTTTTCCTGAAGTTGTCTTACCTCTTACCACCTCATGATGTGCAGGGAGGATTATTTTCTCTCCATGACTTGCCCCTAGAGTAGTACAAGTATGGTGTAAGCTGGTCTTGCACTATGAAATCACTTGGTCTCACCAGCTTGCTTGCAGTGAAGAGAACACCATAGGAATTTCATGTTTTAAATGTCTGAGAACTTGTTTATGGGCTAATTTTCAAAATGCTCAGAATCTGGTCTTTTTTTTTTTTTTTCTTTCGGTTATGAGGCTTGAACTCTCAGCCTGGGTCCTATCCCTGATCTCTTTTGCTCAAGGTCAGTGTTCTACCACTTTGAGCCACAGCACCATTTCCAGTTTTCTGATGGTTAATTGAAGATGAGTGGCTCACAGAGACTTTCTGCCTGGGCTAACTTCAAACCATGATCCTTAGATCTCAGCCTCCTGTGTCGCTAAGAATTGCAAGCATGAGCCACTGGCACCCAGCGGACTCTTGTCATTTTAATTCAGCTATTTAGTATAACATTTTGTTTACACTGTCTATAAATTGTTTTGATTCTTAGTGTGGTTTAGTTGTTCTTGACCCAGGAAACTATCAGGATCGACTGTTGACCTTTTGGTGAATACTAATGTGGACTTCCATCTCTGGGGAGATTGTCATACTATAGTGATGGGGTAGGCCCCAGGCTCCTGTTTTCTAAAATCTCCCATGGCTAATTCTAAGCTGCAGTTGGCAAGTTAGAAACCAGTAAATTTAGGTGTTGCTGAGACTCTTAGTTCTTCCCACCTTCCACCAGAAACTCCCTGGTCCTGCTGTGTAGCAGCATGTTGCTTAGAGGCCTTGCTGGAACTCTGATGAAACTTTCTGTAAGAAGTGGAGTGTAGGTAGTTTAGGAGTCTCATGTTCTAACTCATCTCTCAAAAGTCACCTACTTTGTTGAATTACCTTGAGACTTTGCCACTTTAATGTCATTGCTTACATGGGAAGAGCACATTCTGAGATCCAAATAATTGACTTTAAAATGTGCCTTTGAAAAACCCTTTGAAAAAAGAAAAGCTAATACCTTACTTTTAAAAAGGAAAAAGAAAAATTACTCTTTGAGCTGAATATGTGTAAACTGCATTTTCTACCAGAGAGGTTCTTCATCACTGCTCCTTTGAGAATAAACTTCATTAGTTACCAGGAATTTCTTAAACTTAGAAATTATTATTCTTGTAAGGAGTACAAGTATCTGTGTAATGTATCTGATAACAGCTGTTATCGGCCTTAGATATTGCCACTTTGCCTGGTGTTGTGGTCTGTGGAGGATACAGATGTGTAGGATTCAGTTAATATGGCTGTCTGTGAAAGTCTCCTGCTGGAGAGGAACAGCCAGTGGTCAGTGGTGGCGCACAGTTGCACCCTGTGCAAATCAAAGAATTTCTGAGGCCTGCCATCCTGCTGTTGGTCCCCAATTTAGATGCCTGTCCCCAAAGACTTTCCAAGTGTCTGCTCCTAGAATGCTACTCTTTACTCCCTTACTATCCTAGAAGGCTAGGAGTCTCCCCCTGCCTGACCACCAGACTTTTACAACATTGTGAGGTGTGACTGTTGGTGACAAAAATGCCCAGGCAATTAGAGCAGAGCCTTTTAAACCAGGAATGGATTCCCAAGATCATAAGTAGGGTATTTTCAAAGAATTCTAATAAAAAAAAAACTGGTTGAAGGGAGGTGGAGGAAGGCCTCATGCCCTACCTTTTATGTCTCCCTTGGTCCAGAGGAAGTGTTGTCAAAGCAGTTTAGAAGCCATGACCCTTCTCAGGCTGCTTGATAGCCATGTGTTGTCTCTGGCTTAGAAGTGAACTTTTGCTGCTAAAAGATTCTTTTTTTTCTTCTTTTGCAAGTCCTGGGGCTTGAACTCAGGCCTGGTCACTGTCCCTGAGCATCTTTTGCTCAATGCTAGCACTCTACCACTAAGCCACATTCTCAGCCCCTAAAAGGTTCTTTCATAACAAGGGGCCAGCAGCCTTTGTGTGTCTGCTGCGCTTGTTCTGCTCTTATTGGCCTATGGCAAAGCCTCACTGCCCCTAAGAATCTGAACTGGCCACTCCTGTCTCCCCAGACTCTCTCCTTGGAAGCACCTGCCAGAATCAAGAACAAGGCCCCTCCCCATGACTGGCCCCAAGAAGGAGAGGTGACCTTTGAGAATGCAGAGATGAGATACCGAGAAAATCTCCCTCTGGTCCTGAAGAAAGTGTCATTCACCATCAAACCCAAGGAGAAGATTGGCATAGTGGGTCGGACAGGGTCAGGTAAGGATTCTATGGGCCTCTGCAGAAACCATCAGAATGTAGCTGCTAGTCAACAGCTGGTGAAGTTTATATTCATCCCTACGATCCAGATGTCCATTAAGTGCTTAGTATCTCAGGCCCCTCTGAAATAAACTCTCTGAGTTCAGTCTGAACTCTGATTTCATGGCAGTTAGTGCTTTCTCAGTCATACAGTCCATATTCTCAAAGCAGAACAGTTGAAGCATACGACAAAGTATGGGCAAGTAGAAGCACCAGTATACTACACTATCCACATGTAAGTTACTCCGCTGACATTTTGGTGTATGTTTTGTTTTTCCTATTGAGGAAGGTTTACCAATAATGGTCAATTTAAAAAAATTCTTTACTGGCACACATTAGTTGTGCAATGGGGGTTTTGTTGTGACAGCTCCACACATGTATACAATGTATTCCAATCAATTTCACCCTATGTGGTCATTTTGAGTATTTTCCCCTGTCACTTAGTGATGGATATACCAGGATAATATACAATTCTCTTTTATGAATGTACCATAATTTGTCTTTAACTAGTCCCCAGTTGGTAGGGAATTGCAATTGTTATCAGTTCTTCTCAATTTTAAATAGCACTGAAGCTAGGTGTGGTAGCACACACTTGTACTCCCAGGAATTTGGAAGCATAGGCAGGAGGAGATTATGAATTCAAGGCTATTAGGGACACATCCACATAGTGAATTGTAGCCAACATCAGCTACAGAGTAAGATACCATTTTAAAGCAAATAAAATAAAAGAGCAAATAGCACTGCAGGGAACATCCCTATTTTGTGAAGTTGAAGTTGATGAAAATTCTAATTGTGATATGTCACTACTGTCATCTGCTAGTTCTCAAGAGCTTCTGAAATTCTAAGGAGCTCACATTTGAACAACAGGATTTGTACCACAACATTATTTATAATAAACCTATATAAACTAAATATCCAGCATCAGAGGACTAGATTAAGAAGTAAGAATTCCAGGTGGTGGAATATATTGCAGCCACTAAAATGTGGAAAAGTCTGGGTAAATGAATGCTTGTTACATGAGGTTAAGGGAACAAAGTTCTATCTCTGGGAGGACCTCAACTCGGAGGAAGGAAATGTGTCAGAAACTACAGTAGAGGTGAAGCCTAGTGGTGCATGCCTGTGGTTCCAGCTGGAAGGCGAGATCACAGAGGCTGACCTGGGAAAAGTTATCACAAGACACTATCTGAAAAACAAACTACAAGCAAAAAGATTGGAGTATGAATCCAGGCATAATGGCTTGCCTACCAAACTTGAGTACAATCCCCAATAATACAAAAAACAAATAGAAGAAGAAAGGAAGAAAGAGAAGAAAAAGAAAAGCAATAGTGAGTTTATGGTAGATGGACATTGTCTTCCTGTATGCATGCATGGCTTTTCAAATGCAGATTTAATTCAGAAAAACTATTCTGTCCGTAACTACAAGACTGAACTTACATTTTGTCAGATCCACCAAACCTGCTTTTCTGCCATATTTCTCTGTGCTGGGAGAGTCAACCACAGCCACTTACCTTTTCAAGCCAAAGCCTCCTTCCCCTGTGTGTTTCTCCCAGAACTTCTCCACTCCCTGCAAGGGCTTGCCTCAGTGTCTCCCTCAGCAACAATCGGAGAACAGAGAGAAACATCTTATGTTCTGCTTTGTCCCCAGATGCTTGCTGTGGGATCTCTATACTCCCCAAGGTACCTGAGAAGAACTAAAAGTATGTTCCTCTTCCTGAGGAGAACCGAACTCTTAAGAGAATGAATCAACACCTCATAGTCCTCAGACTGTTGCTTGTGATTTAAATGCCTGCTTTGTAGGTCAGGAAAGTTTAACACCTTCTTCCTTTGCTATAGTTTTATGTATTACGTAGACAATCAAAAGAGTAACTGGCTAGAAAAAGGAGATTTTGACATGAGGATAAACCAGTTTCATCTTTCTACAAGTTCCTAATAGAGCTACTGCTCTGCCTGTATTCTGACTCACCAGGGAAGTCCTCTCTGGGTATGGCCCTCTTCCGTCTGGTGGAGTTATCTGGAGGTTGCATCAAGATTGATGGAGTGAGAATCAGTGACATTGGCCTTGCCGACCTCCGAAGCAAACTCTCCATTATTCCTCAAGAGCCAGTGCTGTTCAGTGGCACCGTCAGGTGAGGACCTGGGCACCTGTGTACTTCCTCACTTAGAGGCTAAGTGAACACATTGGACCATGCCATGCCAGAGCCACCACCAGGGACTGAGATCCTGTGACCTGAGGTCCAGTGCTTTCCCCTCTACAGTGTGTGCTTGTTTTCTATTATAGAAACTTTCTACTACAGAAATTACTCAGCAAGGTGGGAGGAAGCTCTGCAGCAGGTGCTCAAGAGCTCAGAGATTTGAGCTCGGAGCTTTGCCCCGTGAATAAACAAATTGCTATGTTTCCTCATCTCTTAACCAAGGGTAATTTTAGGACTTGTTGTGTACATTGAATAAGTTCATATAAGTAGCATAAGTGCTGAGGCTAGCCCATGGCCAGTGTGCAATAACTGTCACCCTCCACCTGCCTCGGACTGCATCCTGCCCATTTCCTAGCCATGCTGAAAGTTGCAGCTCTCTTGATGGCTTTCAGGCATCATTACCACTCATTCTTTTATAATCTATACACCCATACACACCACTGTTTGGGGAGTTTTTTGTGCTAGGAATGGAACCCAACTCTTCGTGTTAGGCCACCATTATGCCAGTGAACAACTCCCCAGCCCACTTCCCCACCTTTCATACAAACTCTGGAATGAGATCTCATTCTGAAATCTACCTGCATACTAAAATAGTAACTAAGAAGGAAATCATGTTTCCTCTGTTTCCTACCTTTACCCTTAAGCTTTGGCCTCCTCAGAATTTCAGTTTCCATAATTTGTGTTAATTTCCACTTGGGCTTCATCTCTATAGTTGAGCTAGATTGCACTACTTTTTTCAAAATCATTTCAAAGGTAACATTGCATTTCCTCTTTAATTTTAGCAGTTTGAAAAAGAAAATGGTAGCAATTTAATTTTGAATAACCATAGAAATGTTCAGACTTCCTCTTTCTTTGCCACACTAGGCTTTGAACTCAGGGCCTGTACTTGCTAGGAAGGCATCAAGATTGCAGCCTGACTTATCTTTAAAACAAAATGTTCCTGGGGCTGGGAATATGGCTTAGTGGTAGAGTGCTTGCCTAGCGTGCATGAAGCCCTGGGTTTGATTTCTCAGTACCACATAAACAGAAAAAGACAGAAGTATAAGATGATTTCTTGGTTGCTTTGTATGTCCCTCCCCACAGTATAACCCCTGCTTTCACTGTATTTGATGTCAGTATATTTGTGGAGGGGAAGGGGAAAAACAAATTGTTTAAATAGGGATACAAGTTGACCCATTGCAACAATGAGATGTACAAGTCATTATGTCGAAAACAAAACGAACTTTACAACTTTGGGGGGGGCGGGGGAGGATGGGAAGAGGAAACAAAGGAGGAGGCTACAATGCTTGATAAGAAATGTACTCATTATCTTGCCCATGTAATTGTAATCCCTCTGTACAGTATTTTCACAATAAAAAAAAAAAAGTGGCACTGTGGCTCAAGTGTTAGAGTGCTAGCCTTGAGCACAAAGAGGCTAAAGGACAGTGCCCAGGCCCTGAGTTCAAGACCCAGGACTGGCAAAAAAAAATAATAATAATAGTATGTTTCTTCTTTCTAGGAAATGGCATTTAATGGCATTTGGACTCATTTATTCAAGGAGACTTGGTGGATACCTTCATCTGCTTGAGGCAGGGGGCTTAGACAACACATTAGTGTGGCTCATAGTTCTGGAGTCTTAAAACTCCAAGATCAGTGTCTAGTCTTGTCAGGGCTTCCTTCTTGATGTATAGATGCTGGTGCTGGTAGATCTTCACATAGCCCCGTTCTAAGTTTGTAGAAGCAAGAGTGAGCAAGGGAGCTTTGTGTCTCTTCCTCTTCTTGGCACTGTCATGACCTCATCTACACTTTCTGAGGACCTCGCCTCCAGTGCCCTCATATTAGAAAAATGATGGATTTAAGAGGAATTTGAGAGCAATACAAATGTTTAGTCCATAGTAGTAAAACTGAAGTCTCGTCCACATTCACATAGTATCAACATTTAAGAACGATTTGGGGGGTTGGTTTTTTGTTTGTTCATTTTTAGCATTTTTCCTATTGAATTAAGACAACAAATACTGGCTTTTTGGATGATGATGATAAGTCATTCTCTTTGAATACTGAGGGTAACAAGGTTACAAACAATATTTCTTAATTTAAGAAATGAGTGTTGAGTCTCCTCTTTCTATAAATCTTCCTATTTTTAAATGCCACAGGAACATTTGGGCAAGGGGGAGAAATTGACTCTGGACAAAAAAACAAAAAACATGTAGCTTTTGGTTTCTAGTCATCATTTAGAAGAGGATTAAGAAATGAAGCATGTTAAACTTTGGATTTTTCTTGAACATGCTGCCACCAAGAGGTCTCAGTTTGAAAACTGCACAGCACTTCATTTAGGTTTGTAAATTAAGAGCTTCTAGTGTTGACGGTTAAGTTGTGAATTTACTGTGACATGGTGGGGTAGCTCTCATGCAATTGGGCATTCTGTTGCCATCTTCAGAGAGATGCGTTTCCAATGGACAAACTGAGGAGTTGGTATGCCTGAGCTTGTACTTACTGAGCTGAGAGTGATATTTGGTCAGTCATGGGTTTCATTTTCTGCCAGCTCCAACTTTGGTTTGTCCAGCCAGTAGTAAACCCTGGAGTAAAGCTGATCACAGAATGTCTATCCTCCTTTGACCCCCCCAGCTTTTTTATAGATCCCCAAACCAACAACTATTTTGCCCCTTTTAGTAGAAAGTCTGGATGAGTTTCTCCTGGCAAGGGCAGGGGACATCAGCTGCTCTAGAGCAGCCTCTTGGAAACTATGGATTCAGAAACTTTTCATCGGCACTACCAACATCAGGAAAAACTTGAAAGGCACTCCTACAGGGACAGCCAGGTAAAACCAAGGTCAACCAGTCAGAGTCACAAGATACAGTAGACCCTTGATAGCAACCACTGAGGAAAAAGCTTGAGTGCTTGGCATGTGAGGGTGCATCAACTTCTAAATTGTACGGCAGTGCTTGTCCATTCCTTCCACAGTACCACCTGCCACCCAAATTATACTAAAGACATGCCGCTTTCAAATCTGAAACTTCAGTTATAACTTAAGTCCCTTTTTTTTTTTTTTTTTTTCTTGAACTCTGGGCCTGGGCACTGTCCCTCAATGCCACTTCCGGTTTTCTGGTGGTTTGATTAGATAAGCATCTCAAGGACTTTCCTGCTCTGGCTAGCTTTAAACCAAGATCCTCAGAGCTCAGCCTCCTGAGTATCTAGGATTACAGGTATGAGCCACTGGCACCCGGCTAAGCCTATTATTTTTTTTTTTTTTTTTTTTTTTTTTGTCGGTCGTGGGGCTTGAACTCTGGGCCTGAGTGCTGTCCCTCAGCTCTTCAGCTCAAGGCGAGCGCTCTACCACTTGAGCTACAGCGCCACTTCAGGTTTTCTGGTGGTTTATTGGAGATAGGAGTCTCACGGTCTTTCCTGCCCGGGCTGGCTTTGAACCGCGATCCTCAGATCTCAGCCTCATGAGTAGCTAGGATTACAGGTGTGAGCCACCAGCGCCCGGCTCAGCCCATTATCTTTTAACTTACATTTGATAGCATTGTTATTATAAAGATGGTGTGCAGATGGGGTTTCAGTTACATAAGTCAGGTTAAGAGTACATTTCTTCTTGGACAGTGTCACCCCCTTTCCTTGTTCTCTCCCACTTTTACCTTCCTGTCTTTACACACAAACTGTGTAGTTCATTTTCAACATAATGTCCAATGTCCATCCCTGCATTTGTTCACCTTTTGTCCTTTCATTTCATTTTCTTTTTTCTTGTTAGTTGTGGGGCCTGGGCGCTGTCACTCAGCTCTTCATCTCAAGGCTAGCACTCTACCACTTAAGCCATAGCTCCACTTCCAGGTTTTTTCTGCTTATGTGGTGCTGAGGAATAGAGCCCAGGGCCTCATGCATGCAAAGCAAGCCACTGAGCCACCTTCCCAGCCCCGTCCTTTCATTTCTGTGGCACTGTTTTTTCACAAGATTTTAGAAACACTCAACAGGTTGCAAAACAATTTCAACACAATGGACAATAATACTGACTGACTGAAATACTGAAAACTCTTCATCAGCTGAGCTGTGTCATTTGTAATAGGCATGCATGAATTTCATACTTCTGCTTTTGAGATTTCTATATTTATACATGTCATGCTAGGCCAAAACTGGACATAATAAATTCATGAGTAAAGTTGGCTTACCATACAAATTCCTGAATTATTCTGCACACGAATGTAATCAAAAGCACAGATAAAAATATAATCTAAGCCCAGATGATATGTAGCCTAGCTTTGCCAGAATCTCAGTCCATTCCCACTGCATCCCAGCACACCCTCTTCCTCTATCTAAGTTTAAGCTCTTAGGCCCGGGTTTCTGTGGTCTGTTCTTTCCCTTTGCCCTTCATGCTAGTAGAGGAGATCCCCTCAGTCCAGGCCTGAGGTCCCTGTGCTCCCTGGCCCAGAAAGCCCTACCCTGGGCTCTGACCTGCCCCTGCTGGAAAGCTTTTATACTATGGATTCACTGTGGCATGGTTGGGCTGGCGGCTAATCTATTCAGCAGTAAGAACAGTGGCCCCAACTTTTTCTCCAGTTTGTCTCTCTAGCCTTGGTCCCTTGTGGGTAATAGGTACATTCTCTTACCTGAAGCAGTTCTGCTTGGCATCCATTCATTAGCAAGCAGCGGTGTTCTCATTCTTCCTTTTCAGCTGTCTTCTCTCTCACATACACACTTGCTCATTTAACCTTCCTTTTGAGGAATATCTCTAGTTCTCAATTCATAATCATAGCAGAAACTGCATACACAGGTGATTTAGACAGAGCATCTAATACTCTAGATGGTTAAAAAAAAGTTTCTGCAGAATGACTAAACATGTTCTTAGACCCTCACTCTTCCATTTGTCTCTGAATTCTGTTGTTTGAAGGTGCCTCTTGCATTTTTTAGCAGCCCTTCTGAAGAATCCCCCCAAAACTTCTAGTGTCTATTAAAAATTAACACACTTTTTGTGCCAAACACTGTTCTGACAGGAACAGTAGTGACACAGGGATGGTGGTAATGGCCACAGAGCTTCTGGAGGACCCACGATGCTCCAGATACTGTCCTCAGTGTTTTTTAATTGTGTTAATTCATCGAATCCTCAAAACTCTATGGGATAGATCTTATTTTGCTTATTTTATAGATGAAGGAACTGAAACCCAGAGAGGTTAGATAATTTGCCTAAAGATACACAGCTAAAAGTGGCCGGACTAGAATTTGGACTTAGGCTGACTGGCTGTTGAGTCACCAGCAGTAGAGCACCGGCGTGGGGTTGGAGTTAGGGTTAGGGTTAGGTTGAAAACGACAAAAATAAGTGCCTTCACAAGGTACTTTGGCCTATGCCTGTAATCCTAGCTGCCTAGGATTGCAGTTCCAAGCCAGCCTGGGGAAGAAAGTCTGTGATACTCTTCAGTTAACTACCACAAAGTCAGAAATGGAGCAGTAGATCCAGCCTTGAGCAAAAAAAAAAAAAAAACTAACTAGAACAGTGCTCAGCCCTGAGTTCAAACTCTAGTATTGGCATAAAACATAAAAAATAACTAAGTGCCCTTAGACACTTTTCTCCTTCCAGCTGCCCAGACACTGAATGCCAAACTTTGCTTTTATTTCACTCTGTGAGTCAGACCCTGAGCTGTCTGCTCCTCTAAGAAGGGTTGTCTTTTTATTCCTGATTCAGCTGAGCAGTCTGGTCTACCTTAGTGTGTGTATAGACCACCTAATAGTGTGTGAACATGTTTCTTACATTCCTGGAACCCATTGGTTCATCTTCTGAGACTCCTGCTGGTGTACTGGGCCAGGAGTTTTGAGTGATAAGCCTATCAGTGTGTCTGCCAAGTTTGACCCATAGAAAGTCTGATGGGACAAGCTGCTTAGAGCATGTAACCACTCACAGAGCATCTTTTTTTTTTTTTTTCTGATCAAGTCACAAAGCATCTTTTGTGCCTGTTGTTGCTCTGATAATTTAGATTGATTGATTTACTCAGTACAAGCCTTCCATAACAAAATAGTTGGCCCTCCATATTAGGTATCTATAGAGTCAACCAACTTCTGATTGAAAAGGCCCCACCACAAAAATACCACATCTGTAACTGAATATATATGCTATTTTCTATCACTCCATCACCATCATCATTATGTAGGTATGCAAAGTTACATAGTTCTGTTATTCCCTTATAGTAAAACACAACGTGCATAAGATTTATATATGAACGGTCTAGAGATATTCCCCATAAGTATGTGGCAAGCTATGCACAAGTTACAAGGCACTTGAGCATCCATGAATTTTGATATTATTGGAGGTCCTGGATCCCATTCTCTACAGATAACAAGGGACAGTTGTATCTCTTACAGGTGTCTCAGAGATCTGGAGGCTGGAAGTCAGTAGAGTCTTGTTCCCTGGGGAACTTGGAGGGAAGATCCTGCCTCTTTCAGCATCCACTAGGTTGGCAGAAATATTTGGCATCCTTTGGCTTGCAAGTGTATCACATGGTTCTCTGCCTCCACTGCCACACAGTGTACAGTCTGGTTTCTCAGTGTCATCCTTGATATAGATTCCATTTGCATAGTGAGCCAGTCTCCCCACCCTCATCTGTACCTGTCAGTTCCTCCTGAGCTCTGTCCTTCCTCTGACCTTTCTTCTCTGTTGTCTGGTGGATCAGCCCTTTTTCCTGTTCGAGCTTTCTATTTAATAACAGGTGCATCAAGGAAAAAGAGGGCATCTTCCCTGTGTATATGTGAAGGGAGATCTATCTTAGCATATGTGTGTGTGTATGTGTATATATATACAGAGAGAGAGACAGAGAGATATAGAGAATCATCCCTCACTATATTGCGGTTCATTTATTGCAGCTTCACTGTATCACAGAGTTTTTGCTATATCATGGGATTTTCTGGTATATAGGTATTTATATAATAGTTATGATTTTAATTATTTTTGCCTGAAAATAAAAACAATATAAAAATTTTAAATGCTAATTAAGATTAGTAAGAAAGTGGGAAAGGCTTATAGGAGAGTGGGAAGGGTTTATAAAACCTTGAAATATATGTAAATAAGATAAATATACTGCTGCTACTTGCAGATTTTCACATATAGCAGGGGTCGCTGGAATGTAACTCCCACAATAAGTGAGGGATTTCTGTATAGAAAAAACATAGAAGGATATGGGTCAAAATGCTAACTGTATTTTGGGGTATATCATGAGATAATTAAAACATGCACTGGTTTTTGTTTGCATATATATTTGTGTATATGCATTTTTATTTGTATATATATAATTTTTCATATTTATATTTTTATTTTTAACTAACTTATATGCTTATATAATAAAAATAACAAAAAACAGTTGGTTTTCAGAGGTTCTCCTATGGCCAGTTGGAGCATGAGCCACCTGGAATAGTCAAGACTGGAGTCCTCCATTTTTCGTTTGGTTGCTTAAGCATTGGCCTCTGAGAACCTCCTTTCATTACTTCTCCCTAGATCAAATTTGGACCCCTTCAACCAGTACACAGAAGAACAGATCTGGGATGCCTTGGAAAGGACTCATATGAAAGAATGTGTAAGTGATGAACAGTGCTAGGATTGTAAGGGCGGGCATGCAGCGGTGTTGCTCTTACTGCCCATCTTGGCCTGGTCCCCAGGCACCAGCCACCACCTTAGCCTCCAGCTGCAGGCTGTGTGTGTGTGTGTGTGTGTGTGTGTGTGTGTGTGTGTGTGTGTGTGTGTGTGTGTGTGTGTGTGTCTGTGTGTGTTCGCAAGGAGGGCTTCTTGGGCATTTCATATGCACCCTAGAAGTTATCTCTCCAGCCCATCTCCCACAGCGTGTTGGTTGTCATGACGGCATCATACAAACCACTGACTAAGGTGGTGATGACCACTTCTTAGATTTAGCTATGTTTTAATTTCTGTTGACCATAACAGTGGAACATACTTTTGCAGCAGAGTCTGCAGAAAACACAAAGATCACAGACCTCTTAGGACAACTCAGCAGGGTGCTCGTGCCCCGGGGTTGAGTCAAGCTCAGGATCCCTGGCCTGATGCAACTAGATGAGCCCTGTTTTCCTCTCTCATATACCAGGCACCCTCAGACAATGTCATTTGAAGAGTAAATTCTGCAGTTTACCAAAGAAGATAGTGTTGACCTGTCTTCATTGGTTTCAGAATCATTTATTTTTGGGTTTTTTTTTTTGTTGTTGTTCCTGAGTATTGGTTTTTGAGACAGTCTCATTATGTAACCCAGACTGCTATCAAATCCTTTTACCTCCACTTTCCAGTGCTGGTAGCACCACTGCACCTGGCACAGAATAATTCCTCTTTTGCTCACTCCCACTCCCCCCTCCATTGATGTTTTTAAATTTGTTTTTGTGCTGAGCATCAAACCCGGCCCACCCCTGAGTTTGAAAAGTTCAATTTTGACTTTTATCCTTCTACTCTCTACTCTCCCTCCAGATTGCTCAGCTACCTCTAAAACTGGAGTCAGAAGTGATGGAGAATGGAGACAACTTCTCCGTGGGGGAACGGCAGCTGTTGTGCATAGCCAGGGCCCTGCTGCGCCACTGTAAGGTGAGAGCCGTCGTAAGGCTAGGGCTGCTCAGTGAGGGAGGCCCAGTGGGAAGAGGCTGTAGCCAGTGAGAGCAGGGAGGAGGAGCGAGATACCTTATGGGCAGCCTTGCCCAGAAGTATGGGGTCCAAGGCCACCTGAGTCTAGTGGCACTTAACCAACAGCATCACCAACCATGATATCACATAGTGTATTGGTTCTGAGGGAGCTGTTGTTAACTTCCTCAAATCTTTACAATCTAAGTATAACTTTTGTTTCTGGCTAATGAGCAGTTACAGTACTGCAGATCACAGACAAATGATTGAAAGACTGCAAGAGACTTGCAGGTTGTCAAACAAAGCCCCCTTGTTTTACAGGCAGGAAATAGTGAGGGTGGAGTCCAGAAAGGTTAAAATACACATTACAAGTCACAGAGCAAGTAGGGGCAAGAATTTGATGAGAACAACATTATATGTCTATCCTGTTTAAAGGTTTAAATCAAGGCAAGCATGGATAATATTCTAAACAAAAAGTATTACTACATATGTGTGAACCAAGAGTAAATGCTATATAGTGTAAAGTTGATGTAGGAAAACACATTTTAGAAAAACTGAGGAACTAATTGGAGCCCTCTTTCTCCTCTGCTTCACTGGCAGATTCTGATCTTAGATGAAGCTACAGCTGCCATGGACACAGAGACAGACTTACTGATTCAAGAGACCATCCGGGAGGCATTTGCAGATTGCACCATGCTGACAATTGCCCATCGCCTGCATACGGTTCTAGGCTCTGACAGGATTATGGTGCTGGCCCAGGGACAGGTACTGGAACTCCACCTCAGAGGCTTTGGCTTGGCATATAGCCTGGTCTGGAAGGAAAACTGGCCCCTGCCAGTGATGGGCTGATTGCCATCTTCTAGGAACTCTGGGCATTTGAATAAGCAGCTGTAGTGACTCTACTCTTCTGGTTATTGGAAGGGATACACTCAAAAGATGGAATCAGGGAGGCTTACTGAATTCTCACTTTGCTTCACTACTTATTCTTGTGTTACTTATAAGCAGGGACATGTTGGCACAGGTCAAAGAACACATGTACTTGGTGATTCACCAGAGTATATTACAACCAGTCACCCTAGTTTGCATCTTGCTGTTAGGTAGTGGTACCAGGCTTCATATCCTGTTGCTCCAAAGTTGCCCACAGGCTAGCCGTAGCCCAGCCTTCACTTTGCACTCTTCCTCGCAGGCTCCATTGGCCATGACAGTCTTTGCCTTTACTCAACACAGTTCTCCCACCTGCTTACAACTTGCCTGTCCCTACAGAAGGACATGGCTCAGTGCCAAACCTTCCATGAAACCTCCTGGTTGCCTCAGCCACTTATACACTTACCTGTGCTTCTGTCTAGCTCTTCTACCTCCTCTTTACCTGCCTATTCATGGTGCTCAGAGCTACAGTTAGTTGTTTTGAGGGGGTTGTTTGGTTCTCTTTTTTTGGCTATACTAGGGTTTGAACTCAGGTACTCATACTTGCTAGACTGGTTCTCTATTGCTTGAGCCACACCTTCAGTCCAGTTTCTTATTGGTTAATTAGAGGTGGGTTTTCAGAGTTTTCTACCCAGGCTGGCTTCAGACTGCCTCTTTTTTTTTTTTGTCAGTTGTGGGGTTTAAACTCAGGGCCTGGGTGCTGTCCCTGAGCCTCTGTGCTCTTTACCACTTGAGTCATAGCACCATGAGATAAGATTTTTACAGAGTTCTGCTCTCAGTCTCCCAAGTAGCTATGATTACAGGCGTGAGCCATTAAGACCTAGCATACCTCCCAGACATGTACTGAGATTCTGTCACACATTTGCTATCCAGAACCAATAGTGTGCATGTGGATGTTAATAGAATATGATAAAAGAAGGTGGTTGCCAGGTGCGTGTGGCTCACGCCTGTAATCCTAGCTACTCAGGATGCTTATATCTCATAGTCCAAAGCCAGCCCAGACAGGAAACCCCTTAAGACTCTCTATAGTTAACCACCAAAAAGCCAAAAAATGGAGTTATGGCTCAAGTAGTAATGCTAGCCTTGAGCACAAACAAGGACAATGCCCAGGCCCTGAGTTCAAGCCCCAGGATTTGGGTTGGGTGGGTGGGAGGGAAGGTAGAAAGGACCAAAAACATAAAGGAAATTTTTTGTTAGAGATACAAATCCAAGCCATCTTGTTTCTAAAGGCAGACAACAAAATGACATGTCTGTGTGTCCTTGACTTGAGCCACAATTTCTCCCCTGCCATTTATACAGCCTTGTTGATGGGATTTCTTTGCCAAAGCTGAGGGCAATGGGACTCATACAAGTGGTGTGCCCTTGCTCCCTGCTCTTTCCCTTCTACCCTGAATATGGGCAAGGCCAGTTGAGTTGTCCCCTGATTGTCCACTTGGGGAATTTGAGGCTTCCATTGCTCCTCAGCACAGACCCTCCCAGTCACCTGAGAATCCCACTGTCACACCCTGACCTGACGTGTCTCCTCCCTGTGCAGGTGGTGGAGTTTGACACCCCCTCGGTCCTTCTGTCCAATGACAGTTCCCGGTTCTATGCCATGTTTGCCGCTGCTGAGAACAAGATTGCCGTCAAGGGCTGACTCCTCCTGCTGATGAGGTCTCTGATGACAGTCTCCATCTGGGAGCACCTCCATTCCCTGCCTGGGGTGGCCCCTGTCATATCCTCCTGCCGGAACCTTGCCTTTCCCAACTTTCTCTTTCTCGCACAGCAGTTCAGGATTGGCTTGTGTGTTTCACTTTTAGGGAGATTCATATTTTGATTATTGTATTTATTCCCTATTCATGTAAATGGGTTTAGTTTTTGTTCTTAATTGCACTCTAAAAGGTTCAGGGAACCATTACTATAAATGTATCAGAGGCCTATAATGAAGCTTTCTACGTGTAGCTCTTATCTATATATAATTGTGTATATAGCCTATATTTACAGTGAAAATGTAAGCTGTTTATTTTATATTAAAGTCAGCACTGCTGATGGCAGTGCATATTCCTTTCTATCATTTTTGTACAGTTTGCTGCACTAAAGCTCTGTTTGCTATTAGACTGTAGAAAGGGTAGCAATTTGTTCTCTAGCTGGTGGTTTCATGGCGCTGGGCTTTCTGGTCATCCAAAGGAAGATGGGTGGCAATAGCAAGGCCCTCCGCAGCCGCTCTCCACAGCCACTCAGGAGACAGGGTGAGTGAGACTGCCAGGCCTTGCTGAGTGCTGTGAATTCTCAGGGCTCCTGCCTTCTGTCCTGGTGTCACTCAGTGTTTCCGTCAAGAGAGCAATGGGGCAAAGCTCCAGCCCCCTCACCGCCCGCCCCCCTCCACCAGGAATCAGTGTCTCAGGGCCATTCCTGCTGACAGGGGGAGGACTTCTGTCCTGCCATCCTCTTTGCTGTTGTTTCCAAACAAGAACCAGAACCAGTCTGTTCACAGAGTGTCCCACTGCCTCAGGTTCCTCACGCTGGCCACTGCACAGAGCTCTTCAGCTCCCGGGCCAGTTGGTCCCCAGCCCTGGGGCCAACTGCTGCTGTTTTAGGTGGCATTTTCATTTGCCTGTTCCCAACCTCCACAGTTGACTGAGCCGGGACTGTGGAGGCTTTTCTCCCTTCTCTCACCGCAGCTGTTTCACAGTCTCCTCTCCAAAGTCTGCAACTTTCAGCAGCTCTTGCTAATCAGTGTCTCACACTGGCGTAGAAGTTTTTTTTTGTTTTTGTTTTTGTACTGTAAAGAAACCTACCTCAGGTTGCTGGTTGCTGTGTGGTTTGGTGTGTTCCTGCAGACCCCCTTTGTGCTCTGGGGCCCGTAGCTCAGGTGGGCGTGGTCACTGCTGTCATCAGTCGAATGGTCAGCGTTGCATGTCGTGACCAACTAGACATTCTGTCGCCTTAGCATGTTTGCTAAACACCTTGTGGAAGCAAAACTCGGAAAAAAGTGAATAAAATTATTTTGGATTTTATAAAACTCCTGGTGTATAAAATAGTTCTCTGGGAAAGGAGTAAGATGGATTTCAGTAGCTTTGAAGTACCAGGGCCTTGGATCTAAGTAGCTGACAATAAGAGTTGCGTCTGGGAAGGACAAGGCTGATGGGTCACAAAGCATGGGACTCAAAATGCTGTCACTTCTGGTAGGCCTTAGTCTCTGTGGGTATGAGCCCTAGTGAAGCTCCTATGCTGCTATTAAGAGGATGGGGACTGAGAGAAGAGTAACAACAATGAAGTGGAAGGTCGTGGTGAATTATACTCAAGACAGAGTTGGACATGGTGGCCTACACCTGTAATCCCAGCTACTGAGGAGATGGAGATCAGGAGGATCTGTTTAAGGCCAGCATGGGCAAAAACTAAGACTCCCTCTCAGTAGGTAAGCCAGGTATGATGATGCATGCATCTGTGATCCCAGCTACATGGGGGAAGGGAGGGAAGAGGAGGGCAGAGCCTGGACCAGGGCAAGTGAGAAACTGAAAATTAATTCAGGAAGGACTGGAAGTGTGGCTCCAGTGACAAGTGCATGCTTAGTTCAAACTCCAGTTGTGCCAGGAAAAAATTTAAGTAAATTAAAATTTGTTGAGAGTTCTTGACAATCTAACTGCCTTTTCAGCTGCTTGCTTCAGATAACCCAAGGAGAATTAGGGACCCTTCAATAGGGTAGGCATTCTGATATTTCTTGATTGCTTTGTGTTAAATGCAACCAAAAAAAGTTCTCAAAATTTTTTATATTCTAGAAATCATATCTTAATCTTAGTTTTTATAATTTACTTTATTATTATTATAGAGGTGATATACAGAGGGGTTACATTTACATGAGTAAGGTAATGAGTACATTTCCTTTTGTAATGTTATCTGTTCCTCATTGTCTCCCAGTCCCCACCCACGAGTTTTGGTGGGTTTTTATTGTTGTTGTTATAAAAATTTTGTCTTCAAAATTTAAGGGGAGCCAGGTGCCAGTGGCTCATCCCTGTAATCCTAGCTACTCAAGAGGCTGAGATCTAGCTGGGCACCCACGGCTCACGCCTGTAATCCTAGCTACTCAGGAGGCTAAGATCTGATGATCTTGATTCAAAGCCAGCCCAGGCAGGAAAGTCCGTGAGACTCTTATCTCCAATAAACCACCAGAAAACTGGAAGTGGAGCTGTGGCTCAAGTGGTAGAGTGCTTGCCTTGAGCTGAAGAGCTGAGGGACAGCGCCCAGGCCCAGAGTTCAAGCCCCAGGATAGGCACATAAACACAATAAAACAATAATTCAGAGGGCTTGGCTCTATAGTTCCTCACTGGCATGGTAGTAGTACAACAGTGAGGAAGCTGAATCATATAGATTTTATTGTAAGCCAGCCAGATCTACCAGACAGCAGGACCTTGTCTCAGGAAGGAAAAAAAATTCAAATGTCCAGTGGAATGATACCGTGACTACTCTAGGTACACTGAATATGTGGAATATTTCCACCATCACAGAATACTGGCAGCAGCCCAGGTGTAGACTAGAAATGCTATGTTGATGTACTAGATTCATCTTCCAAGGAAGGTAACAGTGTCTGAGAGTCTCTCTGGTCTTGCTGTTTGTGCTCTGTGCAGCATCTGACCCTCATTACCAGTTCTCTCACATCCCTTGGGTCTTCCACCTCTCTATACCTACTTCCATCTTGAAAATAAAGTACTTGCTTCACATGCACACACTCCCTTTTTACTCCCTGCAAGTAATCTTTCTGTCAGGCCCGGCTCCATTGGCTAATGCCTGTAATCCTAGCTATTTAGAAGGCTGAGAATCATGGCCAAACAACAACAAAAACCTTTCCATCTTTCACTCCAGAGGCACAGGAACAAACATTCAGCTGTAAGCATGCCTTCTGATAGGAGCATCTCCAACTCCCTGCTCTTTAGCTCGAGGCGCTTGAGCCACAGCGCCACTTCCGGTTTTCTAGTGGTTTATTGGAGATAAGAGTCTCACAGACTTTTCTGCCTGGGCTGGCTTTGAACCGTGATCCTCAGATCTCAGCCTCCTGAGTAGCTAGGATTATAGGTGTGAGCCACTGGTGCCCAACCTGTAATGACATTTTTTCATATCATTAAATATCATGTGTGTAGTATGTAGCAAGCAGTGTTCTAGAAACTAATTGTATAGTAGCAAATAAAATCTTCCTGACATCATGGATTTTTATACCTTATTTGGATTATGAACAATAGGTGAGGTATATAATATATTATAAAAGCAAAGGGGAAAAAATACATCAGAGAAGGGCATATAAACCCAAAGGGTAAAATTTTAGAGGCTGGTCAGGGAAAGTCTCTGTTGATGTACTCAATATGGCCAGTTTATTTTGCTTTTCAGTGCTGGGAGTTGAACCCAAGTTCCTTACACATGCTAGGCAAGTGCTTGCCCACTTAGCCACCTCCCCAGCAACCAGTCCACTTGATGGTACCGTTACCATTATTATTTTTTCGTATTGTCATAAGTTTGATGATTTTTTTTTTTTTTGGTTAGTCATGGGGCTTGAACACAGGGCCTGGGTACTGTCCCTGAGCTCTTTTTGCTCAAGGCTAGGCTATTGCTCCAGCACTTTGAGCCACAGAGCTACTTCCAGTTTTCTAGTGGTTTATTGGAGACAAGAGTCTCACAGACTTCCCTGCCCAGGCTGGCTTTGAAACGGATCCTCAGATCTCAGTCTCCTGAGTAGCTAGGATTACAGGCATGAAGCCACCGGCACCCGGCTTTTAATTGCCTATTTTTGAGTTGATAAAGTAGCCTGGCAGCTGTAAGAATGGACCTAAGCTTGCAACATTTATGGTGACCCATGGAAGGATGGAATGGGGTCATTCATAAACTCGGGCTTCCTCCTTCCTGGCCACTAAATCTCTAGACTTGTTCTCAGCTTGATCCTATGTACTGGGCTGGAAGATCTGGGAAGAGATTGGGGAATGTTGAGCACATAGTGTTTGTGGGCCAGACCGGAAGGTAGTATGCATCAGTTCCATAAGGGTTTCATTGGCTGGAACTGTGGTGCACCTGAATGCTAAGCACTGGCCTGAGTATTTGTTGTTTGTTTATGACTGGTCCTTGCCATGTACCTGAACTAAAGTTCCTCCTGAGTTCTGGCATCACAGAATGCCTGGCCTTGACACTTTCAATAAGATTTTATTTCATTCTCTCAACTATTTTACAAGATATTTATTGATACCCATTTTCTGTTGTGTTTGTGGTAGACAGAGTCTGTTTGCATTACCTGGCTCCTGGCAGTGACCACTAGTATCACTACCCTGCATCAGGCAATGCCTGTTAATGCAGTGGTACAGCTGCTGCTGCCATCATCTTTTCATATTATTACCTTCCAAATGTGAAGCATAAAATCCATTGATAACAAAAAGTGACTGCAAATAACTTCATTCAGACAAGAAGGATACCAGTAAAAGGCTCCTGGTACAAAGTGACCAAGTCTAGGACTGTACTCTGATTGGTTGTGCCCTATGCATATTAAATGTAACTGACCAATCAGAGAAGACCTACTGAGTCACTGAGATTTGTAGACCTGAAACTATTCTTCAATTAAGTCTGTCTCAAGGATTCCCACTCCTAACTAGAACTAGGAGGGATGGAGGTGAGATATTCTGTTCTCTGGGATTTTGAAACAATCATGAATTTCCTAATATCTATTATCCATTTATCAGGTCAGCAGTGCTCTTCTATTGGAATGTTTTTCCAGAGGTCCTAGTCCCTGAGTAATTACCTATTTAACTAATTTTACATATTGATTATTAAATACATTAGCTTTTTTTTCTTTAAGAGTTATTTTCATTTTATTTTCTCTGAATCACAATTTTTTTTTGTCGGTCCTGGGGCTTGAACTCTGGGCCTGGGTGCTGTCCCTCAGCTCTTCAGCTCAAGGCTAACACTCTACCACTTGAGCCACAGGGCCACTTCCAGCTTTTTCTGCTTATGTGGTGCTGAGGAATCGAACCCAGGGCCTCATGCATGCAAGGAAAGCACTCTACCACTGAGCCACCTTCCCAGCCCTTGAATCACATTTTTTTATTTTTTCCCACTAGATTTTTTTTCTTTCTTTCTAAAAAAAAATTGTCTTTAAGCTAGGCACTGGTAGTTCACAACTATAAACCTACCTACTCAAGAGGCTGAGATCTGAGGATCATGGTTCGAAGCCAGTCTGGGCAGGAAAGTCCATGGAATTCTTATCTCCAATTAATCGCACACATACATAAAAAAAAGCTGAAAATGGAACTGCAACTCAAGAAGTAGAATGCTAGCCTTGAGCATAAAAGCTCAGGGACAGTGCTCAGACCCAGGGGGAAAAGAAAGAAAGAAAGAAATTATCTTTCAGTAGTTGTACAATTCAGCATGTCATTTTGTGAGTGCAATGCATCTTAACTAATGTCAACTTTTCATCACTCTCCCCCATCTCTCCTAACCTCATCTGTCCCCTCAATTTACATAGCTCTGTATATTGATTGACTGCATTTGTTTACCTTGCCTCTCCCCATTTGTCTCCTGGCCCTCTGACTTCAACAGATACACATGTTTCAGCTCCTTGATATTCAAATACATTTCCCTGATGAGGAAAGTTTCATAGAAAGTATCATCCTGGCTGGGTGCCAGTGGCTCACACCTGTAATCCTAGCTACTCAGGAGGCTGAAATCTGAGGATTGCGGTTCAAAGCTAGCCCGGGCAGGAAAGTCCGTGAGACTCCTATCTCCAATAAACCACTCAGAAAACTGGAAGTGGTGCTATGGCTCAAGTGGTAGAGCGCTAGCCTTGAGCTGAAGAGCTGAGGGACAGTGCCCAGGGCCATACTTCCTGGGCCTTGTTTCTGCCTCTGACCTGGGCTTGCTGTGCTTCCTTGGCTCCAGTAAGCTCCTCCTTTCTCTATCTCCCCCTAAAGTGAACTGGACATAAGAACTTCAGCTGGCTGCTGCCCAAGTGAGAGCTGTCAAAGCTGGTAACAGGTCCCCCACAGC